AATAACTTCGCTTGAATACAGAATAAAAACAGAATAGGAAAAATATACGCTGTGTGCGTATGGGAGAATCGTTAAATGCCATATCAAAAGGAAAAAAGAAATACAGATTTCACAGATGGGAAGTCAAATAAGTTGTTTACATGTGATGAAATTTAGGAGCTGTATTGATTGCTTTGATATGAATTTTCAACAAAGAAAGCTCTTTATGGTTTGGGAAACCCCTTAATAATTGACATACATTGAGGTTGTTATATGATAAAAAAAAAACTAACCATTGAATTTATTTGTACTGTTTTTTATTTGAACTGTTGCCTGGCATACAAGCAAAAAAAAGTGAAATAGTAATAATAAAGAAGACCTTGTGCAGATTAAGATATAGTATCCGTTGTTCCTAGAAGCCGTCGCTGTTTCTAAGCAAAATTGGTCGATATATAGCTGGGCTATAACAAGCAGCCTCCTTGGCGTCACGAAAATCTCCAGTCATGCCAAGCTCTGTCGATTTCCAAGCCCAAATTGACATTTCTAAGCTGTGCAGCATCAGGTTGCGCTTCAAAATTGATTAATTCTATGTAATTGCGATGCTACAGCTCAATTAGGGGCGGGAAATCCAATAAATTAATTGGATGTATGGTTCAGCTTTACCTTCTGACCACGAGTGCCTCTTCAACAGCGACTGACAGACATCTCCAGCTACTATCACTGTTTGTATACTGCTCTTTTTTTGCGCAGAAAACATGGGGCGTTTGAAGAAACAATTTATGTAGTTTTTTTTAGGTTGAAGAAAGCCAAGATTTTTTACCCTACAAGCTAGCCTTAAAATGACTGCTTTTACATTCATATATAGATATTTATATTTTAAAGTTAGTTTGCATTTTTAAAAATAATTTAATCTTGGACATAATAACGTTATTACGTCCAAGATTTAATGAATGAAAAACATTGTTTTTTATTTAGTTTTATTTTCAATTAGATTTTTTTTTCGTTTTTGGTCTGCAAATGACGCCAAAAACCGGGGATTGATGCTGTATAAAAAAACGAACAAAGCAAAATTTCTCTTTGACGTGCGAGCATATTTTCACACCTTGATAGCAGCGAGAAACACGTCACTCATTTTGTTGCGTGATTTATGATGGCGTGAACGTGATAATTAGAGGAAACAATTTGTTACTTAATTGTTTGGCATTTCTTGTTCCTTGTCCAAATATTCCCATTTTAACAGTTACAAATTACTCCGAGGAAGTTGGTGAACAATTCTCCATCGATTATCAATGTCACGTACGACGAAATTTATTCTGATTTAATCCTCGACATGTGATCGAAATAAATAGATGACAATGGGGTCGCTAGATGTTTTTATACTACCTTATGTTGGTGGATTAACGAAACAAAATCAGAAACATGATTTAAGACTGTAATTCCCATAGTGCTCGCCACACCCAAGTTTCTATTTTCAAGGTGGTTACAACAGCAAGTAATAAAGGGCTAAACTTGGAGTAGAGAATCCTTTTTGAATTCTAGAAAACGAACAATGTCAATGGTTAAAACTGTCATAAAAAATAAGGAGATAGTTGATAATTTGCTGTGTTGAATCAAGAAGTTATAACTCCTTGGTTGAATATATATTCATCTTTAAGTTAGTGGAGAAAATCGAGTCAAGACGCTGAGAGTCAGTAGTGCTCTCTGCTCTCTGGGCGGGCAGTTTTGAAAATATTAAAAGTAGATTTCGCGAAGCGAATAAAATCAACGCAAAATGAGCTTGTCAAAATGCATAGGATGCGAACAAAATATGTTGCCTTGTTAAAGGGCATCTTCGCACCGTCGAGTGTGAAAAGCTCGAGTGGAAAGGTTCCCATATACACTTCACTATGGGACGACGCGCAGGCCTTGTCTCCCTCTCCTGAACGTGATCTACACAAAAGAAAGTTGCGGCGCAGAGATAATGAACCCGGCTGGGAGAAATGATGTGAAGAACGGGACTCGAAAGCTACTCTCATTTGATAAATAAAAAAATTGGTTCTATTATATGGAGTTTGCACTCTTCTCTTTTTTCGATAAAGAAAAAGAAGACCTCATTAAAGCTGCAAAGGGACTTCAAATTAATGAAAGACTCGAAAGATTTTTAAAGTCAGAATTGCAAAAAAGCTTACCTCTCAAGAAGTGAAATACACTTACTGTCAACTAGAAAGATATTTATTTTGAGGATGAAACATAAAGACTTATAAATCGATTGGAATTATTTTATTTTCATTCACACTCGCTATCCATCATTTTCTTACAATGAACATGGAAAACGAAATACATTTTCTTCGTACCACCAATTTTTTGAAAATTGTGAAAAAAAAGAATGCTTCAAACAACTTTGGCCATAGTCCAAGAAGCAGCGAGTCATCCTACGATTGTTTGAATAAACAATGACTTTTTCATCTAGTTTAAGATAAACCACCAAATAATTAGGGATTAACCTGTGTCTGGATATTTTTTTAGTATTAGGAAGGATTAGTCTCAAAATTGACACAATTATTCTGGAATCACGCATCTGGCTCGCGCGCTCAAAGAAAAAATCCATCCGAAATGGAACAAAGTTGGATGAGTTTCTTGACGCGTTGTTAAAGAAAGATCCTTATTGAAATCTATAGATCTAATATACAAAATAGGACAGATGATAGTTTCGGCATTTTCGTCGTCTGTCGTCAAATTGGCGTCGTTTTTTCTCGAGACAAGATCGTTTATGACAATAAACTCCCCTTCAAAACGTGTAAGAGAAATTGAAGTAGCCTCATTTGGCTTTCGGTTTACAATGCACAAAATGCCATTTCTATTAAGACATTTTCAACAAGTTGGTCTCGGGAAGAATTCTATATTCATTTACGAAGCAAATTAAGTCCTCAATTAAGCGTACCTCGCACCTGGTGAGAATCTAACGTTACACAGCTTTTTCTACGACAAGGTGCCAGCGGAATAATTATTGTAAGGGTCAGAGCACAGTAAAAGAGGGGACGCTGGGTTTGGGGCTCCCCTCTTCAATAGCGCTCGGTGGCGTCTCTGTACAGCAGCGAGTTGTGGATGACAGTTTTACAATGGCATGCTGAGAAGTTGAGGCTTTTGTGTGGTCTGTGCAATCGGCTGTGTTAATTAGATGTTCAGTTTAATGACGATGAAATCAAGAGAATTAATAAGAAAATAGCCCCCCGATTTTCTTAAGACGTCTACTTTTGTGTACCTGAGACTGAGCGGCTTGGATGCCTTTTCTTTTCGAAACCCTGAGAACGATGAGGGGAAAATTAAAGAAAAGTTTTTCAGATTTATATGCAATTTCATTTTTCAGTAATGCGGTTGAAAATTAGAAGTAACTATTCCAATCTGTGTGTGTGTGTGTGTGTGTATTTGTGTGTGTGTGTGTGTTTGAACTAACATGCTTCATATGTAACAATTCTACGTGTTGCCGTACAGTACATTTTAACCATTTATCCTTTCTTATCGAAATATTTAACCTATTTGGATTAAGATGCGCATTTGAGTGATCACAATTCTACCTTTTATGTTATCCCAATGTTAGTGCGGTAACAACCTTTAAGAAGACCTGATTTTTAACTTGTGATCGGATTTGCTGCACGCGCGCTCAATATAGATTCAATGGCCACCTACTTGATACTATCAACTACAACACAACATCTTACAATGAAAATGTGATTTCAAACATGGATTTAAAGACAGGATTAAACGAAAAGCCAAGTTTAACTTACCAGTAAGTTTTTTGAGAAGCGAGTTCTTCTATTGTCAGCAAGTCTAAGAGGCTTATAGGAGCAACATCCAAAGTCATGTGACCCGCGGATTTAGAGAATGAATGAAAATTCGATCTTTAATTGGTAGCTAGCTTGGCGTGCAGGTGCGAACCTTTTCAACTCTTAGCTTATGTTAGATTCGCGCACAATAGCCGCAGTTTGTAAAATAACAACTTGAAAAAGAAGTTAGAAAACAGTATTAGGCGCTTCCCACTGTACAAACACTACCCAGTCAACAAAAACAACTTTGGTTTGACTTCGGTAAAACATCTCTGTTTATTTGTTGACTGTCATTTGTATTTTGTAGATTTTGCCGATTGCATTCACTGCACATGGCCAAAAGATCACGTAGTTGATTAAGTCGACAGTAAATAAGTTCTGAAGAAATAATCGACCGCAGAAGGTGTTCAGATTTCACCAAAGAGCGTAAATGGAACGGCAAAAACTCGTATTTGCCCAACCGGAGGAATTTTGGACGCAAAGAAATGAATACTAGCAGCACCCGGTATCGGTTTTTCATACAATTACATGACACAACTCAAGTCAGCCGAGTACAAGTAAACATTTTATTGTCAATTGACGGCATAACACAAAATCACAAGAATGTAATGGCAACGATTTTGGCGACAGTCTGCCCGCCTTGTTTCTACATGTATCAACGTATGCTCACCACCCCGGACGTAGAGCTGGTCAACGATTTATAAAATCGGACCGATCCCAAATTCTAGATAATAAATTGAAACAGAAAGGTACGGCAAGATTCACCCATTGCGTTCCGTCGACTTAACTCCCATCTTCTGCCGTTTTTTCGGCATTTCTTCGGCGCATTATTAACATTTACTTAATAGTAATATTAGCACACGTTTGATACCAGATAGAACACTGAAATAGCTTTCATTTTTCAATTCAGCCGAATCTTTCTTCAAATATCATCTTTGAAAATATGTACTAGCAAGTGGACAAATCTTACCAGATCGTAGAGCACGAGCACGTCCTGTGAAATGTCTCCACCCCGCGCTTTTTAAACTACAGAACCTAATCAACGCTTACTGGGTACTAGGTCTACCAAACAGGTAGAGCTCCTAAGGTTTACATTAACACGAAATGATTGCACAGTATGGCTTGACACAAAATACAAATTATTCATCTGCCAGCATTCCGACAGCGACTTAATATGTAAGCAAATTGGGATATCTGAAGAGGCATCTTATTTTTTTCCATTCATGTAAGGTACTAAACATATAAATACCTCCCCGGCATGGACTTAAGCTTAACAATTCTGTACTGATAAAAATATTCGCTTTAACAGCATTACCAGTACAAATGAATGGAGAATAAAAAGGGTATATATCCATACAAAATATAACCGATTTAAAGCAGTCTAGATAACAAATAAATACGCTAAAGAAACCAGTCTAAGTATTTTCAAAAACATACAGTACATGTACATGAATGCGATTTTGGCAAAAGTTATCACATATTGAGGACAGAGCTACATATCCAATAAAAATACTAAAATAATTAAGGTACACGTCATATTGAATAGATTGTCTATACAAATTTTCTAGAACAAACGTCGACATCTTAACATCGAGAAAAAAACTAGTGAAATGTCACCTATTTGAGATGAGTTTATAGAAATCCCAAATTCACTACTTTTTAAAATGTTTACTACAGTGTGGACAAATGAATTATCTTCATACACAAAAAACATCTATTACCTAATTGCCAAGTAAACGTACTAAATAAATTTGCCAATTTCATTATTTCCAATATGCACGTCTTTTCAATGCAAATTTTAAAAATCCATATCAACATAAAACCCGAAACAATTACCAGTGAATCATTTCACCCAGTTCACTTACAGAACTCATTTTGATGGTAGTTATTCTCCTAAATGATGACATGGATACCCAAAGTCTGTGTAAATGTATCTGGTATCTGGAATCATACACTTTTAGCAATTATCAGCTCTATTACACTGCGTCAACTCCTTTTAACATTGAACACATGGAGTCGTAACTGTATAGTACATATCATTTATCCTGTCATAACTAGTAAGTATCATAATTGGAGAGATAAATATACCCTATTTTTTTCTCTATAACATTCAAACACAGTAGAATGATGTAGAAATGCCTCTCTGGGGTAAATACATTTCCTGCTGTCCTCTGACAATATTACTGCCACGGACTGCTAAGATTCTCTCTCTCTGTCTCTCTCTTTTCAAACTTGGACCTAAATAGAGATTATTTAGGTCCAAGTTTCAAACTATATATATATTTTTTTCTAATCACTTCCCCTTACTATTCCAGTGCCACTAATACACAGCAGCCTTTCAGAGTAAACAGTCATTTCTTATGGTTGCAGAAAACACTAGCATTCCATCATTTGAGGACTGCTTGTTTTTAATCTTCTGGAAGTTTTTTTCATCTGGCAAAATGGGAATAAATATTGGTAACATGATCATACTGTTCACTGTTGGCAATACTTTGCTGATGTTCACTATTCACTGAGTCATCTATAGTCACAGACTTGCAGTCATTTCATTTTTAAATTCTGTTTCAGGTGTCTCTGTCTTGCTGTCATCAAGTATGAACAGTCCTTTACAGTCACTAAAAACTGGGATTTGTGAGACCCACATTATTTTGTTACTGTATACTGCAGCTTTTCTCCTCCTTGACGAGTTGCTTATTTCTAATTTCTTTTTCCAGTTGTTCATCCTGTTCAATTCTGAAATGGAGGAAAAAAAAAGAAATTCAATATAAATTTACCAGATGAAGTTGAAAAACATAGAACTTTTTAACTAAGCTAAACAAACGTCATTGGTTAATCAGTGTGACAGTGTGACCTCTGAAAAAATCTCATATAAAAGACAAAATACAGAGAATATATATCAATATTACTATTTTTTAGAGAGAGCAGTATGAATTGATTCACTGAGTAAAATAATTTGATAAATACTGAATGTACTTATGAGATCTTGTGGATATGTTTTAGAATCAACTCATAAATAAATATATATTTAAACACAGTTATGCATTCAGTCCTTTCTACTGAACTATGCCTTCTCTTAAACCTACTACTCCTAAAACACAAGTTACATTTTGGTTAAAAAATGTATGGAACAAACAATTTTAATGAATCTATGGCGGTTGTTTATTATATGATTCTATGATATAACAGATAGAACCTAATTCTCCCCCCCCCCTGCAAAAAATGTTTATTAAATAATTCACAACACGGATTATTTAAAAAAATTCTCAAATCTAAGCCAGCTCCAGTGATCCAGAGATCACTCCACACATCTTAAGCTAATTGGTTTAAAATGGCCAGCTAATCACCCTAGCCCCAGAAATTCATTGTCAAATATCTATAGGTTATCATCTGTGCAGGAGATCTTGATCATACCCCCGGGGGCCAGCGAAAACACCTGACTCCTGTTTTTATACTTAACTCATACAATGTATCACTTAGAAAGACAAGGGGACTTAACCGTTTAAGCTTCTTAAACTGTTTATACCTTTTAACTGTTCAACACGGGGCAAGACATTAAGCATTTAAATGCAGGGATGCTGTGAGATGAAACCATGTGATGCCAGTGGGATAACTGTCGTACCGAATTAAATTTTTGGCGACACTGGTATTAACTCTCCATTTTTTTTTCTATTGCCTTGAATTTCTTGTAGAACATATATTTAGCATTACCCTCCTATTCTGAGAGAAGAACAGTCTCTATTTCATTGGATTATTTTCAATAGCAGCTTATATGTTGTCACTAGTGTCGTCTAAGCAGCGTGAGAAGTGAGCATGCTTCAGACGATCACCACAGCTGTGGTCCTACGTACAGCATGACCATACAGAAATGCGACAGTTATTTCTAATCACAGTGTTATGTATTTACTATATGCTTAGCCCAAAAATCGTGTCTAAGCGGACTAACCAATTGTGTGGGGCAATCCATCTGGAAGATGATTTTCCCCAATGAACTCCCCCCACTCTTTGAAGGATCATTTGTTTACCACAGACTAGCTGTTTACCTTTACCAGACAAGTCCTCTGTAATCAATTTTCTGCTATTTCCGATCACTCTCCATCACATTGAGACTTTCTATGTCTGGGCACTGAGCATAGAAAACAAACACAATGGCAAAAGAGGGGGGAAATTTGCTTCCAATTTCCGAATGGGTTATTAACCACAGAAAAAGATACAAAATGTCTAAATGAGCAGAACACTAATTTGTCCCTAAATGCTGATCATTCATGTTGTGGAGAGAGGAATCTTCCCAAAGCACACTGGGCTGAGCCTATTCACTAAAGGCATGTCAAGGGAAAGGATGGGGGGGAAAGTACAAAAGAGAAACCCGACACTTTAAATAGTTGTGACAGTGAAGTGAAAGGGTCCCCTTTCCTTCCAGGTACGTTATGAACCAGTCGGATGCTTCTGACTCATTAGGCATCCTCCAGTCCTGGCTGTGACACCGGGGTGGCTGAGTGCACCCTCGGCAGGGAGTCAGAGCATGGCCTTGGGCTGGAGATTCCCACCAAAAGTAAACAACAGTCAACAAAATATGTTGAGGGCGCCTGGTGATACTATTGTCCAACCTAACTTCCCTTTTGACTCATTCTTCATCCAGCATACGCCCATGTGCTTCAAATATCTCATTTCTCTGACTAAAAAAGTAATGCAATTTGAGCTTTTGTCATTTGAATTTTGCTATCCAAACTTCGAAAACTCTTTTATTATGCTCACATCCTAAAAAATTATTTCTAGGCTTACAAAATGTAATTTGATCCTGAATTTTTCATGATTGATTTTTTTTAAATGCAAGATGTGATATCCACCTGCATGATTTGGAGATCAGAAGTTGACACTAAAATAATTAAATCTATAAAATATACATGTTGTCACAGCACTGCTTTATAGACATGTTGGCTATCAATTTTCATGTTTGATATAAATTTTCTTGTATAACAATTATATGAATCAAAGTAGTATAATCACAGAAATAATCCTTGACCCGTTTGCTTTGTATACTGCAGAAAGCAATAAAATAATGTATGGGCCAGTCTGGCAATTCTCAAAGCTACATAATACAAAATCCTTACACGCTAAAATAAATTAAACATACACATTTACACACATACACAAAACTTTCTAGTAGTACCCTTAAGTCAGGGATACTTGTCCTTTCTGAGAAAATGGCACAGTTACACTGATTGAGTGTTACTTCGTGCCCAAGAATTAGGACAGCTTTGCTGTTTAAGAGAAAAATAGGAAATAGGCAAATAAATAAAATTGCTTTTATCAAGCAGCATAAAACCTATTTCAAAAACGTACGCTCTTTCCTGGGAGTCCAAGTGCTGTACAAGTTCATCCCGCTTGTTCACGATGCCTATGAGTTCATCCAACAGCAATTTTTCTCTTCTTTTTTGAGCCTCCGTCTTCTCCCATTCTAGAAAGAAAAAAAAAAGACAATTTTATATATTTATGGTGCCAGCATGTTTATAGAAGCTAAACAAATGAATCACAGATGATGCAACTGAACAAAGTATTAATTATGAGAAAAAATAACTGCAATGAAGTATGCATCAATGAGCAAAATGTTTTGTAATTCTAAGTGTATATTTAATGCAAAATGTATATGTTGCTGTTTTATTTACTTTTGATTTACGTGAATGTCAAATGAACTTCTTTACAGAGACAGACAGCTAAATATACAGAATAATTTGTTGCAGTACAACAGTGGCAGATTTCAATGGTCAGCTGGAAGGTGGGAAGAATTTTCCAGAGAGACATTAAATTTGTTTCCAGACATTTTTTTTATTTTGCATTACAAAAAATCACTATTTTTTTCATAATAAAAAAACACTCTTCAATTTATCAATTTTCAAAACATATTCAATTTCATTTAAATAAAGTGAATTCAAATAAAGTGAATTATCAAAAGCATTTTGATAACAATCCAGGTACGTAAGGTCTAAGCCAAGAGAATGAATTTTGGGATTCTCAAGGAATCAAATATCTTCTTCCTTGGAATTTTAAACTTGAGAACTCACTTTGTCTGGAAGACTGGATCCAGCCCTTAGTGTAGATTTTCTGTATTGGCGAAACACAAAAGAAACTCTTTTGCATCCAATATTTGAAACACCTAATCTGTTCCTGACAATGGAACATCAATACCACGCAATATTTTATCTTCATTAGCGCAATAAAAAAACACCATCCAATTTCTCAGACAGCATTCTTTCTCACTGGTATTAATTACTATAATAAACATAGTGCATAATTTATGTTCTTAATCAATCAGTTGTACACTGAATAAATTTTGACAAGATTTAAATTTCCAGTTACACAAAAGTTTGCCTGTCCCTATAGCGTGTATTGCTGTGTGTTTAGAAATCAATAACATTACAGGGTTGCTTATTACCAGGGATTTAACCCAGAACTCTGCTAATGGATGGGACTAAAAGGAATGAATATTTGATGATTAATTTACAGAATGCTGATTAGAACAATTATATTTGAAATGTTTCTAAATTTAGACACTTTGTTTTATGCTATCACAGCTCTCTAAACTGGTCGTTTTATTATTTAAAGATTTCATATCAAAACACTTTAGGAACCAATTAAAATATGATCATGAATTTCCAAAATTCAGGTTTTCATTAAATGTTCAAACAAAGCTTATACTTCTAAGGCAGCAATGGATCTACCATTCACATTTACACAAACATAAACTCATAAGCAATAATCTCCAAAAATATTCCCTTTTCAATAAAGATTTGGCAAAGGAATTTCTTCACATCCCTCTCGCCTCCTTTGAGAAAACATGCATACAAATGTCGACTCTTTCAAAAGCAAAAGTTTATTCCACAGCAAATTTAATTACAATTCAGGGGTAACATTTTCTACTATTGATGAAGTCAGCTATTTCAATATTGGGACCAGATCAGTTACCAAATGAGATATTTTCCAAACATAAAGTGGATAGGTAATTTTCCTATGCTTTGCATTGGTGACAATGCTCCAGGGATTTGTATGGTTGAAAATACGCCCATGTCTTTCAGAGCGCATGTTTACCGACTGCAAACAATCTACAACTGCGGGTCTTTAAGTGGTCCCCAGCCATACACGGAGAACAATGATGGCACTACAGATCGAAACGTAGCAAGAACTCGAGTACATCATTTGCAAACCAAATACTGCAGCAATTAATTTAGTGATATCTTGATTATTGCATCTATTGTTACAAAGAAAAAGCTCCATTGTAGTGTGTCCAAACAAACAGGCCCAAAACAGCTCTGAAATTGGGCGACAGGCAAACATGCAATTGAATGTTCTAAAAGTGGGAACTCTTGTCCCTTCAAAGACAGGTATGTCAAGTGGGCAGGTATCAAATAACATGGAAGCTGCCCACAGTTCACAAGGTTATGTAAAATTTACTTAAATTGAAGTCAAATCTCAATCTAAATCTCACCTTCAATGGCCATCATTTGACGGAGTTCTCTATTCAACAGTTCAAATCTTCTTTCCAAGTCGTCCTCCTTCTCTCTGCAATAAAAATGTGATGGTGCTTAGCACATTCAGAAGATTATAAATCAAGTTTGCTATGCGTGAGATTATAGGCAGCTTACACCAAGCCCAGACTTTTCTAAGGCTACTTGACTGGATTTTGGGGGATGACGATCATCAAGAAGTATCATTGTAATTGGTTTACAACCAATTCTCAACACTGCTGATGTAGTGGAATATGGCAAACAGAGAACAAAACAGGGGGCACTGATTTTCTTCATTGACTTTTTTTTTTTTTTGAGGAAAGAAAACATCAACAGTGAATAGACATTGGACAAGGAGTATAAGAAGCAATCAATATAGGTCTCCATTTAAATGAAATTAATACTTGGCTTTAATTCAGCAGCCATAGGTCATATTTGTCTCCTGAAGTGCTTTAACACATTAAGCAATTCTAAATAATTGACTCAGAAATTTGAAGGATTAAGGTTTCAGACAACAGTTTTTCCCCAAAAAGCCTCCAAACCAGACAAGAGATTTAGAAATCTGGAGTTTCCTAAATCCCATTTCAGGAAGAGTGTTCTGAATGCAGGCTGCCTCAAGTCCCTCCCTGCCACCCTGCTCCCCATTGTCACTGCAAATGTTTTATGACATAGTTCATTTTGTCGATGTAGGATTTTGAGCATTAGAATTCAATGCAACCATTAGTCTGGTGAATACAATGTGGTGAATTGGTAATGGAGTGAGAGCGCAACTCCAGGGCAGGATTACTGGGGGATATTTAGGATGAATTAATATTTTGATTGTAACACGAGCAAGTGCGGGACAAAAACAGTTTGGTGCTGTGTCACCAGATCCTAACGTTGTATCAGTTTATGAGGTTTGTGCCTGCGTGTGTGTGTATATAGTACCACTGCCTCACATTGCATGGACAGGAGACACACACACATATACACACAGAGACTGTAGCAAACTTGCCACCTCAGACAAGGTGTGATGAAGTGCTTATGGTGAAACAGATCAAGCCAGGCTAAGTCAAAAAGCAAACTTTCCTGGCACAATCTGAGTCCTGACACCGACACAATGAGAGCCAAACATGCATTGTAGTAAATCTCTGACAAGTCCACAGATAGAGAATGGTTAGAAAACAGCCTAATGTGTTAGAGTGACAGAGGGTGACAACCCCTCGCCTTCAGTTATGTGCGCGTTAGGTGCCTCTATTTGTGCAGTGGTTTTGTTCTGTGTGCTCCATGCAGGTCTCCAGAACCTCCTCAATATAAAGGTGACAGAGGGCAGTGAAATATTGACTGGGAACTGTGGAAATAGGGCTGGAAAGAGTCCCCCTAAATCAACACTTGTTTTGTCTCTGTTCTGGGTTCATGTCCTTCAGAGAATGAACTTTACCTACTGCAAACAGACTGAGGTACTCCTGACACTATGCTTTGCTTTCTACGGTCTTGAAATGGATACAGTGTAAACACGGCGACAGGACCCACTCAAAGCGCCTGCTGTGCTACACTACATTGACATAGCTGGACGGTTAAACACGTTTGGTTCTTGAAAAACCTGTCAAAATGCTGTCCAAATATGGTAAATGATTCAAACAAAACATGACCTTGCTTAATAAATAGTGGACAATTAAATGGCTCTGACTATTAAACAAACAAATTAAATGTGAATATAATTTCTTTGACATTCTGAATGACATGCTTTCACTAAATAGATTGGTCAACAGCATTACTAAACATAAATTTAGTTTAGCTTTGGATACCTTCAAGAGTATAAAACAAACCAAAAACATTTCAACAATAGGTATTTTTCTCTGTAGCTCTTTTAAGTTTTCACCTTATAAACCACATCTTAGGATTTTGTAATGTTAAAAAATAAAACTTAAACTAAATTTTCTAAATGAATTATTACCCATCCCATTGGTTAAATTTTTTAAGGTTGACATCTTTTTCTGTAGATTTTTAAAGTTTTGATTTGGCAAAATCAGACTCAGAAAAAATAATGAGAAACACTTCACCCAGAGGAAATCCTCATATTTTCTTTCATAAGAACATATTTCTCACATGACATTTTCTTTTAACCCAAACTTTGTTTTTATATCAATAACGTTTCCTTTAGGCACTATGCTGTTGTTGATGTTACTCTAATCTTTAACAAAAATAAAGGCAAATCAGTAATGAGAAGCCATTCCAAATGTTTCAACAAAACACACCTGAAGATCTGTCCTCAACTTTGTTTTCATTTTAATGTTTTTCTTAGACACCTATCTCATTTGTGATTGACATTTCCATAAACAAACAGAAGCAAATGAGTAAACAAATGTCACACTCTTAAATCCAGCCAAATAAGGTATATGGCTAACCAACTAAATTTCTTTAACTTTCCCCCAATAAACATCAATTTTTTAAGTGTAATAAAAACCATTTGAAAGTTCAAAAAAAATGCCAAAGTCTCATCTCCAATGAAATCATTAAATAGATTATTTAAGGAAATTTTTATTATTATTATTATTTTTTTGTTAACGTAGACCTCTAACAACACCTAGAATCTAATAAATATTCTTAATCTAAATTTTGATTGTCTTACATAATCTTCCATTATTGGTGACAATCAAATCAAAAACAAATAAAAAGCCAATGCACTAATTACACACAACCAGTCCCATTGTTTTATCAAAATGTAATTAACGCTTACATATGATTCTTAGCATTACACGACAAATGATGGTGACATTTCAATTCCTCAGATAAAGTGAACAATGCCTGCACCTGCTGACCCCAGTGGTCAGGACTTGGTCAATGAATGTACACTAAAATCTGTTAAGTAAACTGTACACCAGGACCGTCCAGCGAGACTGGCTCCATTGGCATCAAGTCACACAATAGCCGTCCCTGACAAATCAACATCGCTCGTAACTTGTGTAAAGCCAGCACAGACACCAGTCATATTTTCCTGACAACCCGATATACCCGTCCACTTCACATTAATTGAATAAATGTAAGTTTCTCGCATGGTAATTAAATAATGGAGGTAATAGGTGAGAAAATATTTACCACTGTTTGCTTGTTTTTATTCTCGGGTGAACAGCCCACTGACGGCTGGAGCCCTGTATTTGAATTCAACAGTAAACTCCTTCCTGACTTGTGTCTGCACTAACTACACCTACTCCTTCCCCCAGCCCCCGGGGCCTGTGACCCCCAAGGCTAGAAAACCTCTCCCAATCTCTATTAAAACAGATCAGTTCAAATGTGTTGTTTGGTATTATAATGTCCCTCATTGTGATTAAGTTTATAAGCTGGACTGAGGGGGAAGGTTAGAGAAACCAGGTAAAACACACTGCCTCAGCATAAACTAAGGGTCCTTTCTTCCACTCAACTGGTTACAGTCAGTTATTAAACATTGTGTCGCCCCAAAATGATATAACGCCGGACAATGGGGGTGGAATTATTCGAGACTGGGTCTTAGATGTGTATGTTCACTATTACCCAACCTCCCCTCCCTAAATGAGGGCTAATAAGTCTAAAGGCCTAAACAAAAATAACAACAAGCCTTTAGCACATTAGTCCAGCGCAAAATCCCAGCCTTTACTTATTTTATTCGGAGTGTTGTCTGTGTAAACATGCCAACCTGCCACAGTTACAACTTTCTACCCTCGCTGGCTCATTATTTCCTGTCTGTGTGCCGTCCTCGCAACTAGGTGGAGTCTGTTCTACTAGATAAAAACGGAAGATAAATCCATCTATTTCATAATACATGATTTAATTATTCATTCTTGTAAAAAATGTTTTGGGTATAGATTTGACATCGAACATGGTAATTCCACTGAAATGCAATGTTGTTTATTCCATAATAATTACATAGGACTTAACTCTGCTTCCTAGAATTATTTTTCTAATATTTCTGTTTGTATTTTAGAAAGCTAGGGTTGCTTCAGTTCACTGCATATCAAGATGAACATTAATCTTCTTAAGAAAAATTATTATTGTTTGGATCGGCTTTTGCCTTTGGTATTATTATAAACATTGCAAGTTTGATAACATACTTTCAGTGTGGATCCAAAATGAATTTTTTCATTTCTTTCTGGTGTATTTGGATTCTACCAGTTTTCTCACATCAGTAAGTAATATAGTTTTATCTATTTCTTCACTGTTTGTAAAGTAGAAAAAGTTGCAAAAACTACTTAATTTTTGATGGATAAAAATAAGCAATTGGTTTAACACACTATGTATCCACATATTTCATTATTTAATTTTGGTTTTAAGAAAATACCTAGAAGTGACCAGTGATCTGGGAGCAGTTAAGGCAAAATCACTAAGAAAAATCCTGTCTGTGAAAATGTCCTGATAATTCTACTGTTAAAATGAATTAAAATAAAGCTCACAATTTAAGGTTAATGCACTTCATAATTTATAAAAAACATAAAAATTGATGATTAAAAATAATCACAAACCTAGACAGAATATCAAGTGTTCAGTTACATTTTAAGACATTTTTTTCCAATAAATCATTAGGATGGGTGTGTTTAGTAAAGGTTGAGCTCACATCCTAAAATTTTATTACTAAAATTGTCCACCTGGCATTTTTTTTTTTTACATCCAGCACCTAAAACATTTATACCCTTTGTCTGGTCTTTGACAAAGAAATGCCCCCTTATTTCTCCGAAAAACATCCTCCTAATGCATTATTTTTCCATTTACTGATCAAATATTACCATTAAAAAGCATGCATTGTAAATCATTATCTTATTTGTTATTGGCTATTTTTTCTTCTTTCTGAAAATACATTAATACACTTTCTTTTTTTTTTTTTTCTTTCAAAATTGCTTACTTGACCTTTCCAAAAACCACGTTACAAAGTTTGAAAACAATTGGCTAGCGACAAAGAATATTAATGAAGTACCATAATACTGACAAAATGTTGCAAAAAGATTAAACTAAATATTAAACTAAATATTAAAAAAATGAAACAATAAAATAAATAAAATAAGAAAGGATAAAAATAAGGACAAAAATACCAAATGTTTGAAAACAATTGGCTAGCAACAAAGAATATTAACGAAGTACCAAAATACTGACAAAATGTTGCAAAAAAATTAAACCAAATAATAAAACAAAATTAAATTAAATTAAACAATAAAATAAACAAAATCAGAATGTATAAAATGAAGGACAAAAATACCACATCTATACAATGCTGGAGAGGTCTGCTGAATGACTACATTTAGAACCAAAGCCTACTAATTGTGTTAGGTGTCCACCATGGATGTGGCAGCACACTGGTTGAGAAAGTGATTGCGTTTCTCAGTGTCAAAAAAGGCCATTTTCTTCAACTGCTGTATTTGTGGGACAGCACACTTTTTGTTTCATTTCTTGCTACTTTGATGTCATTAAAGTATTTTTCATTATCTTTATTATTTTTTACCTATTATCTTGAATTAATATTATGTTTCAATAATAATAACTACACACTAAAAATCATGGTTTTAAACATTTGTTTCATTCTATTCTTTAGGGTTTTCAAGGAATGTGCCATATTTTGGCAAAAACTCTTAGTGTGGAAAATAAATAATATATTAATTTGAAATTATATGAGTATAAAATAAATATCACCATAGACCAAGGTTAATTTGAAGGGTCAATCATCACTTACAGAATATTCAGCTGCATTTGTCTACGAATCAAAGCATTCTTTTTGTTGACGAGAAGAAACCATTCCTGCAGCAGACGTTCTTCTTCAGCTTTGCTAGCACCTGGAAGCACAATAAGACGTGGTATTCTATGCATTTTAATTCTCATGTAATAGTATCTTAATTAAAGAATTTCTGTTCAATATGTATTTGTTGATGGAGTAAGCTGATTGGCAGCTAGTCCAATAGAATATTTGGTCAATCTTTTTTATAAATAAAAACCCAATTGTTGATGATAGAATGTTACATGGAGGCTGGAGTGGACTTATTGACCCCAATCAATGTACTTCTCCATTCATCTATAATATATTTACCATAAACTTAATACATCTTGCTATTTATCAATGATCAGCATTGAAAATTCTTCATATTCTACCAGCCACCAACCCAAGTTCTATCAAGTTATCGTTAAACAATGATCAAAAGAACTGATCACAAATATGGGGAAACACCATCAGCAGTCAGACTTCTCTAAGCTTGCAATTTCCATTAAACTTGACTACCAAATGAAATGCTGTGTGACCATGTTCCATGAAATCCCTGTACCACCTACCATTCTCAATGCAGTCTGGATTCCTCAAACTACGGTGGCGCTCATCTGGGTCTAGGATGGGTTCAAGCACATCTAGGTCTGTACTCAGCAAAGCACAACACAAACACAACTAATGGTTGATCAGCCAAATATGTGTATTGCATGTTAAGACAATTTGGCATATGTTTTGTTTTTTGTTTTTTTTTTTCTAACGGGGCTTTTTAGGAGAATAATTTCCATGTGAAATTTCCCTTGCTTAAGAAACATTAAATCGATTAAAAAAACATTAAAATTGACTTAGTTCTTTTGATAAAAAAGGAACACTAAATGTGCCAAAATATCTAAAATTCTTTTTTATATGCTTTCTGCAGTTTAAAATGCTTCAATTTCTGTATATGCCAATCATATTATAAATAGAAATTTTCCATATATACCAAAATGTCTTGAGAAATAAGATGTGATAAATTATGCCACTGCAAAGAATCATAACATTGATATTGGACACGAAGATCAACATGCCCTCATATTATGAAGTAATCAAGCTCAAATCTGTACAAAACATGAATTATGATTGGAAACTAAATGACAGAAACAGCTGCAACAGAAGCAAGGAAAAAATCAGCTTTAGAGATAAATTAATTTTAAAGCAAGAAGACAAATTTACAAATCACGCAAGGAGAATGTACAACATGAAGAACAATAATGATGGACACACAGATAACATAATTGAAATAATTTAAGATATACTCACTCCAAGTTAGTACTGCTAAATATCTGAAGGACTGGTCCTTATTTTTTTACTACAGGAAAGTGTCACATGCACAGCACTCTTAACTCCAGAGTATTTTTAGAGTTTCATTTGAATATTTGTAAATATAAAACTGCTAATCTGCCAGGAGATAATTTTCATTTGATTTAGTAACAAGGCAGCAAAGCTGTCAAATGTACAGACAAAAAACAGGAAATAACTATGCACGAAATAGGCTACTGTCAATTCTGATGCAAAATTTTAATGATTGAATTTGACAAACTGCAATGATATGAGTTTATTTCCATATTTGAAACTTTATTACACAATACACGATAACAAGTTTACCATCATTTTTACATAATCAACTAATAATGTTGTAAAGATGCAGGAAATGCCAAACAAACACTTTTACATATCTTATTAANTAAAAAAGCCTGCAATGTGTAGTTATGATTAAAATGGAAATGTTAATAAAGATGTGATGTGTCATTTTATTCGATGTAAGTATCTCCCTGTTGCTTTTCCTTGTGACAGAATACTGATAATTTAACATCATGCACAATAATATTGAGCTCATGCAAAGTGCAAGTACTCCACTAACTCTACATGGTTCAGGACCAGACACTCGCCTCAGTGACCCTTTGGCCCATCCCAGCCTTTCACCAAAGACATCACTTACCTGTCGAGTACACAGGTATTGTTAGTAGATATTACTACAGTGGGTTCTGCCACTGCTTTTGTATTTGTGTTATGAATAAACAACTTCTACACCCATTTAACTGATCATGCAGGATTACTACTAAAAAACTCCTACCTTCTCCACCATCCACTACAAAATCGAACTTTAATCCAAAGGCGCACTGACATGGGGATAGGTCTACTCTTCTATGTACCAGCCTTTTTGAAAACAAACTAAGCTTAACTTATTATAGGCAGCAAATGACATCTCTTTACTTTCAAATATTAGTCACGTGGTATGACCTGTAAAGGCAGTAGGGTGGGAGAATAGAGATATAACACATGCTGCTTTACTGATGGTGAGCTAAGCTTAGTCAGACAACCCACAGAGCAGTGTTGTATAGAAAAGGGTCGACTTATCTTCAGTGTAAATGCGCCTTTAGTCTAGCATGCACAGGAACCAAGTTTATCACTGAAGGAGATGCTCACTGTGTTCAGTTTTGTTAGTTTATTTTTTTCATTTTTTCCCCAAAGCAAATTTAAATATTGCTCTTTAATTACATGTTTTATCAAAATATATCACAATTTTTAAAATGATATTTAAAAAATCTTTTATGCGATTCAGGTGAACATTGACTGTTCCTTGAACTCTACACTTTCATCACCCGCAGCGAAAGGAAAAAGGCAAGAAAAAACAGAACACATAAACATCTCTCTCTCTTACTGTGCATGTAGAGAAGCCAACATCATGTACATACTGTCTAATGTTAAACTGTTGGGTGTTAGTCTTCTGTCCCTCGCACTTACCATCATCCATGACTTTACGCAGGGCTTTCTCCACCTCCGCCGCTCTGCGATCTATCTGTTTCTGCTCCCGCTCCAAGGCAGCCATCTCATTGTTCACATATTCATTGGTATCAAGTAAGTCCTGTAAACAACATGTGTATTTACAGTTTTTAATGAGAACAAAATCACATTATTTGGACAATGGCCTGAATTCAGTAAATGATCAAAAACCTCTGAAAACAAGTTTCATGTAAAGTTTTCAAAAAGTTATATGAAGGGAACAATAAATTACAAACATTAAGTTTTATCCTTTAAAGCATTCTTTTATAAAACATTTTCAGAAGTGGAATAATCATCAGATTATCTTATTATTATGGATATTCAGAGTGCAATTATAAATCTACACTCTTCCTCATACTTCAATGTTGTCCGATTCTCCAGATTCCCCCTCAGACTCGGACTCTCCACCACTGTTCAATTCATCTGCGAAAAATAAAAGAAAATAAAAACATAAACCTAACTTAGAGCTTGTCTTGCTGAAACACTCTCTATTTAAACACCATTATCTTACCATAATCATGATCTTGATTTTATCCAAGCATTCACATTACTGTATGAAGTATATTCAGTTCACAAAAATAAATGCAACAAAAAACAGTGGCAACATATATGAAAGATAAGTTTTTACCTTTAGACGGTGTGGCTGGTTTTACAGGGGAAGTTCTTTCACCTGATGGTCGCCTTATTTCCTCTTTAGTATTCTAAAATACACAGCAATTGAAAAGTAATTGGTATCCAAATGTACAGTTCACTGAAATATTTTTAGTATTAAAAATATTTCTAAAAATTTTTAATCTCTTTAAGCACATTTATCACATCAAAGATTTTAAAAGTAGTTAATATCTAACATGTGAATACTGTTTAAAACAAAATCTAAGAAAATGGTGTCCACAAAATCAAATTCTGATAGTCATCCCTCATTATCAAAGTATAATTCTTGCACCATAGATATAAAAATTTCTAGCAAGTCACAAGCCAATCTACCAAAGTGCCAATTCAAAAATGTTCTCCTTATTCCATAAACATGAACACTTCTTAAAATACATAACCAATGCATAACCACTTAAAAATATGAATATTGAAAAAACTCCATCTGTTTTTTTATCTATGTGTTTGTGTACTAATTGAACTGTTACTTACATTTTGAGAGGCCTCCAACTTGGCTGCAGTTGTTGCTAGGGTTGTTGCTAATTGTGGACGAGACAGCATCAGTTTCTTCAGGCGGCCATCAGTGGCTGTACTTGCATCTGCTGCAGGGGGGTTGTTATCCTTCTCAGATGTTTCTACATCTACGTAACGAGTGAGAATTTTCATTAAAGAGCCAATATTATCTACATGAAAATAGCGCAAGTATACTTGAACAATATAAATACAAAATGCACTTAGAGCAACTATAAAGACTTTACCTACATGATACTTTCATAAACAAAAAGTACCCTAAACATAATAACATTAATAGTAACAGTAGTTAATAATATATGCTTTATGCAAAACTTTCATGTTACAAAATTTTAATCCAATCTGATATATTATGGTATTAAAATCATCACACATTCCATGTTTGGAAGAAGCAAGCTAGACAACCACCCATCTGCATTGTAAGTTAATGAATACTTCTGTAACATGCAAGCTTGCCTCAAAATGAAAACTGAAACACCATTATATAATAACACAAACACTCCCTGTTCTAAGAACAGATACATCTTATTACATTTTGTAAATATTAGTCAAAGCACGACTGTGCCAATAAAAAAGCCAATATTAAAGGCCAAGCTGACAGCTCATTTTCTGGAAAAAGCATTTGGAATTAGTTTTATACAAATGCACAATATTCTTAGAGATTTTGGGTTTGGCTTTCTAATTCAATAACTACGTGAAAATTCTATGCTAGAAGGTTTTTAATTTCATTAATACTTAAAATATATTACTGGACCTAGCTAAAACTGGTTATAATTCTTCATGCTTGATGAACTGTTTAAATTTCAGATGCAGGTTTTAAAAAGGGTAAGGGTATTAATGCTCTAAGCAAATTTTTCTTCACATCTAAAAATCATTCATTGTAGTTTTTTTCTATTAAAAAGTCTAATATTCTAACTACTGCAGTGCAATAACTATCTCACAAAAAAATCAATATTTGTCACCTGATTGTAAAAAATGTAAAACTATATCCATTCTTTCTTTATAAAGCACATGCTTTTAATACCCCACCAACTACTAGTAACAGGTTCTCATGCTTGTCCTATTAATTATGCCTACATTCACACACTAGTCCTACGTTAATTATTATCAAAAGGCTGCATAGTCAGTACACATTGAAATTACCCCTTCTGCCCAAGGAATTTCTCTTAAACTGGTAGAACTTAACACCCAAGCGTTCTGTTCACCAGAGCCAGCACCACAATAAACAATGATCAGCCAACCAAGATGGAAGGAGAGAGAAATTGGACATGACAGGATGATTTAATAATGAAAGAAAAATCAACTTTGAGAGATGACTGTAATGATACTATCAGGTCCACATACATGGAAATGTCAATCTGTCATTCTTGCTAATACAATATATGCTAGTAATTGTTGTTCAGTGATTTTTTTAAATAATCGCATACTATATAAAAGGAAAATATCTACAAGTAACTGCTTTTTAAAAGTTCATTGAAATGCTCATTTTGCATACTACAATTAATTGTTATTATCGTTATCATTATTATCAAATTAGATCTATTTTTATAGGAAAAGATGTAAATAAGTAAAGGGACTTTAGGTAGCAGAGGGAAAGAATACATAACAATAAACAGAAAACACAACTTTAACATTTAAAAGAAAGCAAATGATCAAAGCACCTTTTTCCACAACTTTAACTCAAATCATATTAAGCACAATAAATAATGATGATAATAACAAATAAATATTAAATTTAAATGTAAAAGGAAAAGTAATATCTTATATAGTTGTTACTCTTACCTGCCCTCTTGCTGTTGTCTGATATAATCTCTGTGATGTTTTTAACCTCTGGTTTCCCAGAGCTGGCTCTTGCCTCCGAGATCAACTGGCGGGCACGTTCTCGGAGTTGCTGTTGTCGAACTTCATCATTTACCTAAAACAGCAGTTTGCAGGGTGTATTACATGCACTAACTACTGCCAATCCAGAGGTTCTGCCAATCCAAAATTTAAGTTAGAATACCATCCAGGATTATTTGCTAAGTCATTGAGATTTAAATTATTTTTTACATGCTTCTAAAGCCTGACATCTTGTATCAGCGCAGTCCTTAATCAATCAAAGCCAAATGTCAAAGACTGATGCTGAAATATATATTATTTATTTAAAAGTAAATAATGTAACAGGTGGATAAAATGCCTAACTAACATGAAGCTATAGTTGTATTACCTTCATACTGGTGGTCACCTCCTGCCCCCTGACAATGGTTCTATTTTCTGGATGGTTGTGAGAGGCGGCGTCCATTCTGGCCTGCTCTAGGAGTTGTCTGGCACGGTCCTTCAGCTCATCATGGCGGGATTTCTGTCTCTAAAAATGGATACTTATATCTTCTTATATCTAGTAGATGATCTTCAAATAAGCTGACTGCAGGAGTTCAGCAGTAGCCATTTCTAACCCCTCCCCATGAAATTTTATGTGTTTATGAAAGCATGTCAAACTACTAGTACATACACCGAGTACGATATACAGCATCAGTACACTGTTGATTTGTACAAAGATTTGACAATCTTTTCTCTTGAATTTACCTGGTATGGTCCAGCTTCTTGTGGTGTTGTGGGGGACTGGACAGGGCTTCTGGCAGCAACCGTCTTCAAGGCAGGCTCTGATTTACTGGCTGGAACACTGGGCAAGTGGCGGCTCTTAGTCTGAACATAAGACCAAAATGCTATGTGATTTGCTCAAGTATTTAAATAATATGGCAGTCTATTCAAGTCTGGTGTGGAATGTTAATAAAAATATTAAAATAATGTAATGTTTACAGCATTTTTCTTAAAGAAACTGATGAAAAAATTCTCACAAAAATTTTAATACTCGAGACCAATGAAAGTTTTATTTAAATAAATGTGTAATTCAATCTATAAACTACAAATTGGAGACATAAGTTCTATTCATAAATGCCACTACCATTATCTGGTGTGGAATGTTAATGAAAATATTAAAATAATGTAATGTTTACAGCATTTTTCTTAAAGAAACTGATGAAAAAATTCTAAAATGTTAATAACCGAGACCAATGAAAGTTTTATTTAAATAAATGTGTAATTCATTCTATAAACTACAAATTGGAGACATAAGTTCTATTCATAAATGCCACTACCATTATCACAGCTGTCAGTTTAAGCTGCATCCTACATTGACTTTCAAAGCATACCTTTGTGCTAGACTGTTCCTTGGTCCTTTCTTTGTTTTCCATGGACTCCTTGGCACTGGATTCTTTTTGGACAGGAGGCTTTGGAGCATCCCTTTTCTTTCTAATATTGAAAAACATGGAGACCAATTAAATATTTATGACTCTTTATAATAAGCCCGCCACTGGGCAGGGCAAATGTTAGTTAATGGCGTTTCATAAAATGAACAATAGCACACAAGCACTACACAAGTAACATATTTCATAATCTCAGAAAAATACAGCATAGCTTATTACATGTGCAAAGGTTAAGTTTACTGGCAGTTAACAACCTCTACCCAGCATTGCCATCACTGTTCAGTACTGGAAATGGTATACATATACTGATAATACAGTTGATGTTCAAGCAGTCTATTTCAGTATAAAAGTCAAAGTTGATTAAGATATTATTTAAGATATAATTCTTATTAAAAGCAGAATTACCTGTATCTGTGCTGCTTTGCAGCTTGGGTTTCACTCTTTGGTGTACTCTCTTGAACTGCTGATGCTTCCTTTTCTACAACAGCAACAGGAGCGGCAGGGGTAGCAGAAATTTCTTCTTTTTTAGCACCATTATCAACAACATCAGATGATACGGAGGGCTTTGTCTCCTCCTCCTCATCATCACTAGAGTCAAATGGATTGTAGTATTGTTTCCTTGTCATTAACTTTGGCTTTTCCACATTATCTGTACTTAATTGCACTTGTGTCACCGGAGCAGGCAGTTCTACAGCAGGACTAGGGCTCTTACTGCTCTTTGATCTGTCCTCACTAGTCGTACTTCTCTCTTCAGAGCTCCTACTGTCATACATGAAACGTTCATCAGTGGGAAGTCTCTTTGGTAAAGTCTGTGCCTTTCTGGCAGTGCTGTTTTTGACTGTTGTGTCATCTTTTACACTTTGCCTCTTGTCTTTTGTGGGGGATTTTCCCTTTCTGAATGGTTTCTTTTCTTTACTCTCTGTTTCCTTACCGTACATTTCTTTTGATATCCTAGCACTACTATCAGTATCAAATTCCCCTACAGTGTAAGTACTCTCGTTAGCACTGGTCCCAATCTGGTGGACCTCCAGTGACTGTCCAGTGAAGAAGGCCCTTAACTGATATAAGTAGGTCATAACGGAGAGTTTGTCTGGAACTGCTAGTAACTGCATGTCAGATGGCTCCATGACTTTTGGTATGCCCAGGCTGGCTGCAGCATCGAATGCCTGTAGAAATACAGTGATGTTGTATGATAACCCGTCAGTCAAATATGTAATAACTATATCAAGAACATGTTTGTCATATGGTTCAAATGGCATCAAGAGACTTGCAAAACAAGAATATCTATGACTTGAAATTGACTAAACCAGATTGTGAAGTCATCAGACACATATTACATGTAAATCTCCATTGTGCCTTGGACTTGAAATTCCATGTTAATGAATCTGGTTTTTAAAACACATCAAACAGTGTAGTTAAGTCCATTTCAAGTCAAACTTAGTCCTACGTATGAACAGGTTTTGGGCACCACAAGAAATGGCTAAAACATCGAATGTTTGTGATTCAGTATTACGAAAACTGAGGACAATCAATAAATACACATGTGTACTAATGTCATGACAAATGTAGCAATGATGATTCATTTATCAAAATATATTACGCTTTCTGCAGCTGCCATTAATTGCAATTTCTATACTGATCTTCATTCATTAATTTGAAGCTTTATCTAAATAATGATCATAAAATGAAAACCCTATTCCACTCTTGTCCCTAATTGGTTAAAAAAAAAACAAAACAAACAAAAATATGATTGAAATATGTTTAAAAATCATTCAATCAGTTACACTACTTTCTTCCAGCTATCTCTGCTAATGCATTTAAAATACACAGAGATATCTTCTTCAAATTCAAAGAGAATTTTTTATCAAACACAGGTGGTCATTTCTGCTTTAAAAAACGAGAATCATTACCAGCATAACGACATGGTCAGGGGACTTTCTAATCTGAATTTCCCAGCACAAAGGGAGGTCTTCGGACAGATTTGAAATTCCAATGATCAGTGGCAATTATCTGATTCATCTCTTTTTAATCTACCAGATGCTGGTTTAAAAAGATAAGGCTGATCACTGGGGAGTAATGCCCCCTGTGGGGAGTCATCAAGCTAGCAAGGTTTAAAATCTGAAAATTGTCTTGTACAACAATATCACCATCATCGCTTCATCATTTTTCTGTGAGGCTTGTCAGGCTGGAGTTCAAATGTGAAAGTAAGCTACACGGCATCAGCAGGCTTGTGATAGGTGACCAGGCCATGCTCCTAGTTAGCTTTTTTTCAACTCTTAATTTTGAGGTAATCAGACTTTTTTCAATTGAAAAAAAATGGAAATTGCTTTGGCAAGAAGGAGAAAAACAACTGGCCCCAAGAAAATCTTGGTTGCTGTATTTTATGCTCTAAATCACTCACAGTGTTAGATTTGGCGTTTCCTACTCCTAAAATAAAATTCTAAAGAAAACCCTAAAATGTAGCTACTAGTACATACGTAATATCATACATTACAAAAAGTTTTTTGTCTTTATTTCCCTGTTTACCAACTTATCTGGCCTTATCTGAAAGTGCTTGGTGCTTTGAAAAATGAAATTGTACTACATGTTGCCAACATAACAGTACTCAAAAATTCATTGATCTATTGCCTAATGTCTTACTATCAATATATCATATCTTGTCCATAAATTCCATTTGTATTTCCCAAATTGATTTCTAAGATAGCAACCCGATATAAGAAAGCTCTAAGACAGCAACCCGATATAAGAAAACATATAATAGTTAAGTGATGGTCTTCATTTATATTCATTCTGGAAATGGCAGCTAAAAGCTTTCTACAAAATTAGCCGGAATTCTTTCCCAACAACAATTTCCAACTAGTGTTAAGTTATGGGGAAGAAGCACTTTTAATATCCATTTTGGCTCATTAGTTATGGACTATATGTAATCAAGAGAAGCAGGGATTAAATTTCCATAAATGTATTTCAATTCTAAATTTTTCAGTGGTATGCTTCATAGTCAAGGTGTTCACTCTTTTATTGAACACATCTTGTTTAAGTCACTCTGGATACTTCTGAATATTGATTTTTAAAAACATTAAACAAATATAAGTAGGTACAAGTATATGCCTAACATGACTGTCAATGTTAATAAGCTATGAGCATAAGATCTTGTTTCACAAACTGTTTTTGCACTGCAAAGTTCTCATGCTACAGTTTTGTGCATTTGTATTTATTCATCTACATGTTCATGAACAGACTCACTGCCTACATTTTTTCTCAAACATATCGTAATTTGTGACATACCTTTCCTGGTTGGCCAAAATAGAACTATTAATCCGAGTCTTAGGCTTCGTTCACATGCAATGTCTATTTTCTAAATTCTATTTTCTATTCGCGCTATCTTATGATCACGGTCTGTGCACTGAATATCCCGCCGCGTAATTACTGGCAGCGCGAGCCAGTTACTTATAGTAACTTATAGTAAGTGGCTCGCGCTGCCAGTAATTACGCGGCGGGATATTCAGTGCACAGACCGTGATCATAAGACATACCGCAAATAGAAAATAGAATTTAGAAAATAGACATTGCATGTGAACGAAGCCTTAGCCTTCTCACTCCCCTTTTTCAAATATCTTTCCAGAACCAGAAGTCTTACTAAAAGTTGTCTGATTTTTAACACTGACTGTGACTAACTGCAGCCTCATCACACACTCCAGTGGCTATGGTAATTTTCTATCAGTATTAATTGAATGCACTGCCTGGTGTCACAATACACTCACCATAGAGGCCACAGTGTAATCAAACCAGTCAATCAGCAATGCAAAGAGGTTCAACTTTCTCTCACCTTTTTGTTATTTCCCTTGATGTCATGGGGAGACAGACTGTCAAAGTCTCTGAAAGTAAAAAATGGAGCAGTCAGAACTATTACACAAGTATATAGCCCGTGTCTTCACATCCACTGGCCATTTGACTGCAACCTTGTGATAAATGTGCCATATTATTGTTCTATTAACGAAGTTACTGAGCAAAATGACATTTAGAGCTGTCAGTAGCAATGCTGCAAGTTATGCATCCAGTTGCCTGTGTGAAGAATTGAATTTTCTTGATGGGATCTCGCTGAATTACGAGGAATATTACAGCTAGCAGAGCTGTACTCCGGATGTGAAGATGGCCATAATGACTTGTACATACACACTCTACTAGGTAATCAATTTCTGTGGCACCAGAGGTTTGAGCCGAACGGACACAATAGGGTGTTGCAGTTGGTTTATCACTGATAAAAGATACTAATTGAACCTTTTTTCATCCCTTTGAAAATAGTCACCAGTGTAATTAGTGAGCTGTCATTTTTCTATGCTTTATTATATCTGATGAAACATTGATTAAAAAAGTTGATTCAACTTGTGAACATGAAACTTGGAATAACGGCACAAGGGCAGAACTATCTACGAATAATATAAAAAACTAGCAATAATTGCTTACAATCATTCCAAAGCAGGGTGTAAAATGAACAGAGTTTTAAAAAGTCCCAAAAGTGCCATTAACAATCATGTTAGAACGAACATATTACCCATTTGACGATGAAAACACAAAACACTAAGAGCAAGTCACAATCATCTCCATGCAAATTGGAAATCAATCAAGATAAAATTTGAATTCACTTTCCCCAAGCTGAATCTTGTTGTGAAAACAGTCCTGTAATTAAGTCTGCTCTCAATTTCTTTCCTTCCACTTGCTGAATATTGCACGCAGGGGATGGACTACTGATCATGACCCTTGAGCTCAAGTCTGGAATGATTTCGTTAAGCCAGAACGGATGAAACAGCATAGAAAATCAATCAAGCATCATGTACTTACATTAAATCAGGCCTGAAGTAATGAATGACTGCGCAAAACGCTAATCCATTTCTCCAGGATGTTGTCATATTGGTGACCTTGACCCCTTTGTGACCTTTAGTGACCTCTTGACACCATGTGATCAAATCCATGGCAGGCGAAAATTGACCTTTGGACTTTTGACCTGTTCCAGGAACATTCTGAAAAAAAATGAGAAATATGGTTTAGGTATACTATTTGAAACAATATGTTGGCATTTGGTTGGTTTTCATGGCCAAAATTTCACTTCAACTGAATATTGAAATAAGCTAGCTAAGCACTTAAAGAGGTCGCTGCAAACTCTCACCTGGCGGCAATGTGACTGTTTATTTGCCACATTATTCGTGGTTAAAACCTTTATTATATGCTTCTCAATATTTTCCAACCTATATGCAAGGTGCAAAATAAACGTGGATTATATTGTTGGTGTTGCCATTTGGCTTATCTTGGTTCCTCTTCTATGTTTGGAAGTATCAAACCATTTGATTTGGTCACTTAGTGGGAGCTCCTTTATAAAAATATTATCAGTTTATCATTAATTTATATATAGAAAAATGATATACAATAAAAGATTAAATTGTTTGTGTACACCAGAAAGGGATAGGGAAAGAAACAATAATCATCTCACAGGACGCTTGCAAGGTTTGAGTNTCCTGGAACATTCTGAAAAGAAATGAGAAATATGGTTTAGGTATACTATTTGAAACAATATGTTGGCATTTGGTCGGTATTCATGGCCAAAATTTCACTTCAATTGAATATTGAAATAAGCTAGCTAAGCACTTAAAGAGGTCGCTGCAAACTCTCACCTGGCGGCAATGTGACTGTTTATTTGCCACATAATAAAACCTTTATTATATGCTTCTCAATATTTTCCAACCTATATGCAAGGTGCAAAATAAACGTGGATTATATTGTTGGTGTTGCCATTTGGCTTATCTTGGTTCCTCTTCTATGTTTGGAAGTATCAAACCATTTGATTTGGTCACTTAGTGGGAGCTCCTTTATAAAAATATTATCAGTTTATCATTAATTTATATATAGAAAAATGATATACAATAAAAGATTGAATTGTTTGTGTACACCAGAAAGGGATAGGGAAAGAAACAATAATCATCTCACAGGACGCTTGCAAGGTGTGAGCGAGTTATTGAAGGTACTTCTGGTAGAGATGATCTTTTGAAACTGTCAATTTCAGAGACCACTGAAATGAATTTTTGAAAATTTTGTTGGATTCACACCTCTAAAGCTATTAAATTTTTAATACTAAAGTTTCTGCCATTCAGAAAGATTACTGAATACTGAAAAATATAACAGCTTATACAAATATTTCAATTTCAATCATTCCTTTTTTAGATCACTAATATCAACTGTAAAAATCACAGTCATTAATGATTTCATACCTCCCTGAAGATGGAGCACAAACAATATTTTCCTGCTGCCAACATCTTATTTTTTTACAGCACAACAACAACATTAGTCAAGACCAATTCCAGTAATTTTATGCAGCATTTCCTGTATATTATCTTCCAACAGCATTACTGGCTGAAAAAAGTCACAAAACTGCTTCAAAAATGCTTGAATAATTCCACTATTCTATCCTGGTGTCTTCGCTTTCCATAAGAGTTGGTCCGAAGTTGTATCGCTGTGATTGCATAAACTGCCTCTAAATTCTTTGCTTGATTAACTCCGATGCCACAGTAACTGCAATGTTGTTCGGTTCGACAAAGCTGGCACCCATACAGCCAATCACAGTAGAATCAGTGACTCAGTAGAACAAACTGGCAAAAACTGATACTTTTTTTGCTCCTATGTGTTTATAACCACAGCAAAGCTGGTACTTATTGCTATTCCCAATGCTCAAAAATCAATAATTTGTGATCAAAAACTGTGTGCTGGCGAGATGCTTAAACAGAGTGATTGCTGTCAATTTGTAGAAGTTGAGCTGCATGTTTCCCTTCCATCACCGACAACCTACCACGACAGAAATTGATCACCAGTTCCTGGGAAATCACGCAATCATTTCGAACCATAAAACATTTCCACATCGTAACTACACCTCTGTTCCAATTGATTACACACCTGGCTTACTTAATGCACTCATAAAAAACACGACATTTCAATTAAGTGTGTACAACATGAGAGCATTAAATTGTATCAAAGCCATTAGTCCTAATTTCATCTTCAAAATTATCTGAACGGAATACAAAAGACTAGTAATTTGCCTTGGTGAAATATAAAATTCAGATAAGGCCTGGGCATGAATGATCAAAATCACTTGCTTCCCTTATCTTAAAGACCATACTCTGTGTTTGTGTATGTGTAAATAGGGATGCTGTCTAATGAACCGATTCTAAAACTCAGCTTTTATTCTTTCCAAATGTTTGCTGAAACCAGGCAAAATTTGACGATCATGCATAAGCTACTCTAACTGTTCTATGCTCGCTTAAAGAGAGCTGCATTAAACAGATAATGTAGCTAATAACCATTGATTATAACCAAAACCCTGTTTTGCACTTATTTAAAAAAGCATGATAAGAAGGAGTTGCTTTATATAAACAGCAGGCCAGATTGAAATCCAATCAGATTTCCAATCGGCCTAGGCAAAATTGAAATTTCAATTATGCCCATGCCAAAAAATATTTTAAAAATATTACAAATAAAAATTTCAAACTGACTAGGCAAGGCTGAAATCTGACAAGATAAGGTTGATATTTCAATATTACAGAAGAAATAAAAGTGAACATCAGCATAAAAATAATTCAATGTGTAACTGCAAATGACCAGAAAGCAACAACAACAAAAAAAAAATTGGTTAAATTAAAAAAGTGCAAATCCTGCCAAAGACCACAAAACCTACCTGGTTGAGATTCAAAGGCTCAAGTGCTGCTCGGTCTGCTTTGGGAGGTGTATGTCCTAATGTCTTGGATTTTTGTAATCTAGAGACATGGAATTAACAACAAGTTTGAAGTTATTGAAGAAAATGTTAAATTGTCATCACTATAGCTTCATATCAGGAACCTCAGGAATACTAACTGTTAGATATCTGCCATATATGTAAGTGAAAGGGAACACAACTGTCGATGTTTTAGCGAAGACTGTATTTACTAGGTGATTGGTACATTTTGCCATCAGTTGTGTTAGATGAGACAATGGCATGAGCCATGATAATATTAGAGCTCATTTCCACTGAAGCTATCTAGATTGATCTGACTCCATGAGGATTCTCACTGAAAGCAATCAGTTTAACTGATTAACAAGCATCCTGGTTTCCAACATGCTCTATATTCTAATCAACTCCAGGAGGAGGCATGTTAAGCTGTTAAACTGATTGCATTCAGTGAGAATCCCTGCAAAGTTGGATTAACGGACAGCTTTAATGGCAATGAGCCTTAAAGCACGGTTGTAAGATAATACCTAAGTTTCTGCTCCTTTGCCTTTCTCTCCTCAGGTGGGGTACTGGGTGGGGTTATAGGCTTCAGCACCTTGCGCTCCTCAGGGGGTGTGGCGGGCGGGGTGCCAGTGTACATAGGCCTCTCTACATTCCCTTTCTTATCGTATGAGGCATTTCTGTTGAGCGGGTGCATGTGGCGATATTCCTCCTCCTCTGTGGAAGTCTCGAAGGGATTCTTTGAAGCTGCCTCAGCTTTACTTTCATTGAATGGATTTAGAGAGTCCAAAGATTCTTCAAATGGATTGCTTGGTTCATTGAAAGGGTTATTTTCATTGCCTTCCTCATCAAATGGACTTAGTCCCTCTGCAATTGTGATGATTTTCTTCTTTGGTGTGCCAGAACATGTGGCAAAAATAGGAGGCTGGGAAGCTGCTGAAATATTTTAGAAAGTAAATTTAATCAGATATGTCTTGTCATCAATATTTTATATGTTAAATATATGTTTTTATCTTCTAATGACAGGCATTGTGCAGGCATTCTTAAGATAGTGATAATATGTTCTTTTACCTTGCTCAGGGAGATCGGGATCCCCAAAAGGATTTAAATCATCCTCTTCATCATTCAGGGAATCTAACTTGGCAGCAAGTTCAGAGAATTTACTGGCATTTGCCTCATCCTGTTCATCATCAAAGTCATCAATGTTGCCTATATCTGGTCTTCCTATACTCATTAAACTGGCAATGCTCTGCATGTCTTCATCACTGGAGAAGATATTAAATCATATTAAAAATATAAGTTTTTAATATGAAATTAAACAGTATTTTCACTTTCTTTCATTTAAATGAGGCTATTCAAATGACAAATCACTATTCCAGCCCCATTAGGAAAGTGATCAACAATAGAAATCTTTATTATCATCTATAAATTATCCCTGAATAAACCAGTTGCAGCTGAAAATGACAAATCAGCTCCCATTATAAAAGGGAATGAGATAAGTAATTACTTTCATTTAGAAACTGCAACTGATAAGTGATGAATAAACCAAATGCAGCTGAAATGACTTAAATGATGTAAAATCATTACATACATGTATGCTATTCAGATCTGACACCGACTGAGAATTATGATATAAGAGGCATGCATTCATTATCATAAAGCAAAAAGACTCATCACAATCACCAGTTCGGAAAATAATCCCTACTGTAACTACTTCTCTGTGTTAACAACTGACAGATTTATCACTTACGTAGCTTTTCCTTCCCTCAAGAACACACATGACACTGTTAACTGAAGGGTGGCTGAAACCACTTTCTTGGAGGCTGGTTTCAGTTTCAGTTTTAGTTCTGTCTGCGTGGGAATCTGGCTGGCAAATTCTCTCATGTTCACATTTTTGGATGCTAAGACTCTTCGTCTCCCTTTTTTGTCTTGCTGTAAATATACAAAATTTGACAAATTTACAATAAATATCTATAAAAGTTGAGCTTCTTTCTTGGCTAAAAGCTACACTAAGTACAATTTGTAGATTGTTTAATAATTCATAAATTAATGGATCTAATGAACAGATACTTAAAAGCTAACTTTATAACTGATTTGCCATAAATATATTCCAATAATTGTAACAGGTGAATGTATATGAATGTGCATACACACTTAAAATACAAAGTAAATATTGTTACACTTTTTAATTATCCACAGATAAATTATCTCACCTACAACATACCAAGTTTCCATTCAATTTTTTTAAAAATTAACTAATACAGATACCTACATCTTCAATAACAAATGTCCAGTCCTTATCCTCAAACTCCACTTGCTTATTGTCTCTGAACAGAGTGACTTGTATTTCCACATTCTCAGGCACTGACCACACCACAGAGCCTAGGTAAGGGTTCCTGATGGTGGGCTCCCACTGGTGGGCCTGTAAAAAACAAGGAGTGGATAGAAAAGAATTCTTTTTTTATGATATATCATACAATCAGAATGTCTCTTGGTAAGAAAATGAAATTATTTTTTAATAAAAAGTTTTTTACATGTTGTGGGTACAAATAAGGTTCAGTAACTGTAGCTGTAAATAGTTGTTTTTTAACAACAGAAAAGTATCCTTCCAGCATATAATGGATTTGATCCAAAATTTTGGTATTTCTATTTTTAGCTTTTAATTATAATAAAAAACGTGTTAAAAAGAGCCTAAGGAAGTCATTCACATGTCTCTTTGTAATGTTATCTTAGAAGTAACCTGGCAAAAAAGAACCTGTGTATAGGAGTGGTGTTCTACCACACAAAAAATGCAACAGATGCTCCAAATGATTTAACCACAAAAAATGTAGACAAAATGTAAATATACATTCAATTTTTATATACAGAAAGGTACAATATAAAATCAAGTCAGTAAAAAAAATATCACAGATGAAAATTCACTGACTGAATGCATTGTTTTGAATTAAAATATATCGTAGTTTTTTTTTCTGGCATGGTTTCACCATAACATACCGTTGCTGAGGTAATGCAATGCAACAAAATTTCTGTTTGTTATATTTCAATATGTTACTAAATAATCCAATCTAACGACTTGTGCTAAAACCACCTGTAAAGATAATCACAATCTTCCTGGTGTTTAACACGGAGTCCAAGTGTCAAGTGGTTTCATTTTGGTAATGAGTAAACAAAGCCTGGAGACCAAGATAAGTTAGTTTCCTGTCTTCACTATCTCTATACATATTATCATAAGAACTGTACCCACCTCGGTGGCTTTCCTACGACTTCTTCTTGTCCATACCACCAATAATTTGTTAGGTTGCCTGGTGGGGAAGAATGATAAAAAATTCAATTAAGTAACAAATATATATATATATATAGGTGATAATTTTACTAAATGTGAAAAAGGGAACAAAAACCTCATTGTATAATTAGCATAAACACAACCTTAAAAAGTAAATGTATTAAATCATTAATGGATAAGGTAATGACATGTGGTGGATGACGATCTTAGTTGAATCATTTGGACACTTTGTTTTTAAAACTTTCCAGAATTGCATTAAGGCAAATGCCCACCTATGATTACAAATGACTGGTTAAGAAGGTACCTCATATAATTGCTCCACTACAGATTATGCTTTAGGCTCTATTCCCATAGATTTTAGATCGATCTATCCCCGCGGGGAGTCTCACTAGATTACTTTCAGATAATCCGACTTAAATGTCCGTCCCGCCTACTACAAGCTGTAAGGGGGTAATTAACTTTCGTGTCCACCCGGCTGACAGCTATTTAGCGTGAACCCCCAGGGAGTTAGGTCGATCTAAAGTAGGTCGATCTAATCTATGGAAATGGGGTGTTAGACATACGACAAGTTAATACAAACATGTGCAGTAGAAAGAGAGACACACTTAACAAGATATGATCACTAGAATATAGTTACAAGGGGACCATATACGGAGTTTTGGGGCAGATAAAAATGAAAAAATTTTCATGCTCCTAACAGCAATTTTCTGACGTTTACCAACTATAACTCAATTAAAAAAAATACTCTCCTTAATGTATTTTAAATAGATAAAGTGTGCACCACTTGGCTTAGACAGGTGAACTAGAGATTGGCATGCAATTCTCCCCTTGAACATTCAGTACATAGAAAAGTGAAAAAAGCTGTGCTGTAAAACAGGATCTCAGATTTGAAAAGAGCCATTAACATAATTAGATATTTGATGATATTTTTTAAATAAATCTGCTACTAAATAATAGTTTTTAAGGCTTAAGGGGGAGCAGTATACCATTTAAATTGAAACAGGCACATACAAGTTATAAGAATATAAACACTGTATATAATCTCTTTAATGTGCTGGCATGTTGTTTCAAGAGAGCATGTTGTTTACATAGGTAGATACATGTAGTCTGAATCAATATTTATTCCTTGCAGATATCATTCACAAATAAAAGTTAAGATTTCAAAACATCTATGAGATAAATAATCTTTATCACATATTTTCATATGCATAACAAAGATAATTACCTATAAAATGAAGGCAAAAGCCTTCAATTTCATACACATATGATTTATTTACAAGGTATTTCAAAGCATTTTCTAAAGCCACTTGTATGTTACTAGTTTAAAACAAAATCATTCCATAGAAAACAGTTTTCTTGCATTATGCCTAGACATATCAACCAGTCATGTTATGCTGCTGCAGTAATATTGACAGCTACAGATGGCCAAACAGTAAGTCAAAACATGCATTTAGGCCAAAATAAAACAGGCCATTGCCACCTCTCCTAGAGATTTATGCCAAATATTCCTAAGCTTAAAACAGTTGAAAAAACATCAATAACACGTCCTTAAATCAGGGTCTGTAAGCACAGGACTGAGTGTCCATTTTAACCAGATTATAGTTAAACCACCTAAAGACAGACATGGATTCATATATGTTGAATGGTGTTACAGAAGCTTATAAATACATACTGGTTGGTACATTGAAAGTTGGGCTAAGGCAGTCTATCAAGAAAAATACAAATACCCCAGTATATACCCACCATTTCTTAGTGACCTCTACAGTGAGTTCTTGGTATGAAGCTGTGAACTGAAATTTGGAAGCCCTCTTTCCCACTCTTTGTAGTCGCTTCCAAACTGACATTGTTCAAGGTAATGGAGCAGGCCAGGGGTACTGCATCAACTGAAGAAAATAAATAAAACCAGACCTGAGACATTAATATGGAACAGAACCGCCCTAGCTTGTGCTTAAGGAAGAAAGAATACTGTACCAGTGAATAAAAGGTGCATATGTATAGTACTGTAATACTATATACTATTATATTACAAAACTAAATGCACTGTTCTACATGATGATAACTGCACACCTGTCTTCAGATGTTCTAGTCTCAGATGCTCTGCATAGTAAAAGAACAGCAAACAACTGCAGATGCATCTCAGGATTACTAGTACATAAATTCTACTTCACATTCCTAGTAAATGACACAACATGAGAATTGCTCTAAACTTGTATTTGAATTACATCTAATCACAAACCATGTAATACGAGAATAAACTATCTGATACACGTGTGCGTGTGTGTGTGTGCATGCGTGCATGCGTGCGTGCATGTGTGTGCATCCAACCACAGCCAACTGGCAAGATACCTTAATCTTGGTTCTGAAACCACAGCATATTCCTATCCACTACATTTCAACTGATTATGTTAATTTGTTAGGAGCTCCCATACAACCTATAACATTTACCTATTATATCAGTAGCACCAGACTTCAACTTTAGCTGTTACACTCTATTATTAATCAAATTAATTCCCCATTCACTCTATTAATCATGATGACATCCTTCCAAGGCTATAACATCCAATAGCAAAGGCCTAGTTGCATAATATATCACTGCTAATGAAATATCTCATGTCTCCCCTAGGACAGGCCTATACCATGGCATATAATAATATATATATGGCTTCACAAATATCATCCACTGCTTTACATTCATTGTTTTAAAAATTGTTGACATTGTCTGACTGCCAAAATCAATAACAAATCCTGTTATCATTTTACAAAACAAGCACTTACATATGGATCTTGTCTCAAAATATCATATGAGATGCTTTGGTTAAAAATCCAATATGAAGTATTTTGAGACAAATGTACATTGATTCATGTAAAATACCTATACATACATATATATATGCACGTACACAGATTTCAAGGCTTAACAAAAAAATCTGTCTACTCCGATGTGTATCATATACCAATTACTTTCTCTTTACAAGTTATTCAATTCATACATAAATTTGGTAACAAATAAGAGATTATCTTTCCCCAAAACATACATTGATTGTCAAATGTGTCTCCCTATTCAGCTGTCAGAGGATGATGCTGTTCATGCATTTGCCAATTTCCACTGCATTTACATAATGAAGAGAAAATATTACGAAAGAAACAAAAGATATATTTCTTCATTTGACATGGTTTCTCTTCGACCATGTGATTTACAAATTGATTTTCCAAGAAAGATATGGGAAAAAAGGGAAACTGAACAGTACCTAAATTCATTTGTGAAGACGACAATCTTTTCATAAAAAATGAACTTACCTGACACGTAACTTCACAGCCGATCAATGGCATCAAATCAATATGAGCAAAGTCGTACCACATAAAATATATTAATTTCACAAATACAGAAAATACAGATACCTTACGTCTGCACTGTCATGTGAATCTCAACCAAAGTGTTAAATACTGTTAATATTCTGCAAGCACCTTCCTTCTTTCTATTACCTGACATATTCTGATTAGTCATTACAAGGAGGAGGTGAGGGTTTACTCACCTGGTTCAGAGATGCATGGTCATGTTTAGCACTCAGAGAGCTATAGTGACAGAACTTCCATGATATTAAATCTGTAGTGGTATTAGTACATCATCCAGTAATCATTTCCAAAGTAGGTGGAAAATGAAAACAAACAAACATTAAGACTAATTTATTACAGGAAACTAGGTCACTTGAAGGACATATTTAAGCACATTTATAGACAAGTTGGCTTAAGTTGAATATTTTGCACCATCTCAATTGAGAGTTTAAAATCACATGGTCATTTCAATAATCATGGAAGTTCTAGCAAGTAAAGCCACCACAACTTGACTTAAATATGCCTTAAATAAATATTTTCCTTTATAACAACTATTTTTTTCTACAGACTACATGGTGTAAACTATAAGTGGAATTTTCCTTAAACGCTGACTATGAAAAAAAAAGAGATTTAATTATTTACAGGATGTGCTAAAATCAAATTTACAAGCAATTTGAAGACACTGCACCACATGACTCTTGACAGCAGGAAAAGAACCACCCCTGGTGAAATTGCTGTTGTGAATCCAAAAAGATAAATGTCAGACTATTCCATTCAGAAATGAAAATGAAACTGTTTATTTTTGCCTGAAAGGAGTCAAAGCAAAATTGGAATAATAAAAACAGATAAAAATAAGCTAAGCTTAGAAAAAATAGAATTCCCAAAAATTTTACAATTTAAAAAAATGATTCAAATTTACATAATGTACATAATATTTATATATAAAGTATTAGTAAATATTCACTACCAGGAAGCAATCTATGGTTGGATGAAATACTGCTATGTGTGTGGAACAGAAAAACAGGAACAAAATTAACATCCTGAATCTTAGTCTCACATGTGACTTTTTTGTCATATTGTTGAACAACACCAAAAAGCATGATAGCCATGGAATTGATCAACAAAAGCTGTTTGAGTAGTCAAACAAAAAAAGGAGCATACTAGTATATTTGTACATAAAATTAATTCAAATATCACTCTTGGTGCCACAGTCAACAACTGATAAATGGTTATTAACACAACACCCTAAATTATAATGTTTTTTTACATCAAAATTAAGCTAGCCAAAGCTACATGTATTCATGTTCAACAAGGATCCAAAAATTGCTGGTTTTTTAAAGACAAAATATGTCTACAGTAAGTGTGTCACACTATTAACACAATATTGGCCAGACACAATTATTAATGCGTGACACATAACTCATTTCTCTATTGTGTTGATATCCTAGCTATAGGTTTCTTAGAAAACCTATCATTTCTGTACAAATGATATGCTTCTAATATATGATTGAGCAATTATCAGTTATCCATGCAGATGGCTTATCTAAAGTAGATAAGCATTTAAAGAGCATTTAGAAGCTTAACTAGTTGGTTTAAGAAGTAATAAAAAAGAAGCAGTAAAATAGAAGATTTTTAAAGCATATATATATATAACTAAAATACAAAATCTGTGAGCTGGGCAAAAAGCATTATGTTAATCTTAATATGTATTCATTTACAGAGGGTGAAATCCTGGGGCAGTAAAGTAGCCACTATGTATTCAGAAATATGCCCAGAGCATTACTCTTAAACTTGTACTTGTACATGTAAATCAAAACATTAAAAAAAACAATCTAAACTGCTATAGTTTGATTATTTACATCAATTTTGTCTCTTTCTATAGTTGTCTTTTTTTTTACTCGAGCAAACCTTCCTAATATTTCCCTTTTCCTAATATCTGACATACTTTTACAAAAGCTGTCTATCTGCTTCATGGAAAATTATACATAGAGCAAAATTCACCACTGATTCCAGACCTCTTGAGCAATATAAACTTTAAAGTTCATAGAAACATGTACTGTAATAGTGGAGGTCAACTTTATTCTTATGTAAAGAAAGTCACTAGATACGATGATGAGAAATGTACATATCCCACAAATAAAAAATTAGACACAGTATGAATAAAAAGTAAATAATGCTATACATACATTTACTGCTTCGGGGTGAAAATAACTTGTACAGTAAGTCTTAAGACCTTGTCACTCCGTATCTGTGCTGTTTTGACGTTGAACTATTCACTTAATCTAATTATCAAAAAATTTAAATCGGGTTTCACTTGGCGCTGTATTCAGTAAATGCCAGGGTAAAAGACCAAAGGGACAGTCCACTGACTAAGCAATAAGAAAAAGTACTAAAATCAGTGAAAACGTACAGCGGTGTAGTCTACGGACTGGGTTTGTGGTCACCTTCAATGATTTGTAGCAATAGGCGGTCCGATCTGCTTATTAAAGAATCCACGGTAGACAGACTATAATCCAACGTGTTCTTTCCAAATAATAACTATCATAACAAAAAAAGAGCTGTAAAAGCTGTACATATACAATGTAATTACCTTATTCAGGAAAACGGTACCCTATTTGCTATTTTCGTCTTCGGCCATTTTGTCCAAGTCACGTGATCAATGTTTTTTTAGACCGCTGTCAACTTTAACAGTAACTGCAAAAAATGGCCCTTAGTACTATAATTATCATTTTAGAGAGCAAAATAATAAATATTTGTAGTTTTTCAAAAACTTTAACTTAAAAACCTAAATTTATTGCAAGCTTGACGGAGATCATTTACCACATTCCATATAGTGTATATCAATGTATTTTTTTAAATGATGCGTATTGTTTCTGATCTATAAAATCACCAAACATTATTTTTTAATTTTAAAAATAATATGACAAAATACTAATTTGTCTTTTAGAGGCAGTGTGCAGAGTTTGAATTTTATGCAAATGAGCGTGGGTGTGCTAAGGTAAAATTCGTGTCTGCTAAGCAGACGAAGAGAAGCAAAGGAACAAAATGGCGAGGAAAAATCAACAACAAAACTCGCCCAGAAAGTCACCTAGACTGAAACAGAGAGAGGGTATGTCCAGCAGAAGGCTTCTTTAAGACGCATGTCTTTGACATACCTGTAAATCATCATAAGGGGATCTTTAAACAAAGAGAATTTGATCTTAAAATTTCGTCGGCTGCTAGGCCTTTGAAATCGCGCATTCGGCAACCATGTTGCAAATTTTGTTACATTGTAGCAGACGTTTTACCTCACAAAGCATTTGCTACATATGTAGTCTGTGAACTATGGATTTTGTGGTATTTTGCATTTCGATGGGACCTATTACTGTGAAAACGGGGTTTAGATACACTTATACTTCATAACTATTTTGCTATAGTAACTAGCGCGGGATAATATTTGGGGAAAAGGAGAACATGAAATTTTAGGCTACCAAGAGTTGATAACAACAAGTTAGAGAAAGCAAATTGATTTAGTGATGTAAGGAACATAAACAGAGTTTTATCAGTTTGAATTAACAGTCGTATTGGCTAAAAGATGCCTTCAAGTAAAATTTAGTGCATGGAGTATGTCCAAAATTAAAAAAATAGATTTTGAAAGTTAATATCTGTATTGGTAAGTTGGTTTTGCAAATATTAAGATATTACAGATGACAATTTTGAATAGCCACAAAAATCTTAAGTGGGTTTTAATGGTTAATTATAAAAGCATATGAATGCTGTGAAAGAGGTGCTATAATGCATAAAGATTTGTTTTTAATCTTTAGAGGTTTTAATATGCCTGTATACTTCAGGGGGACTGTATACTGTACTTTTTTTCCAGAAGACTTAAGTTAATTGAACAGTTTCTTTTATTCCTTGCATTTTTACTTTTCATAAAGATCTGATATTTAAAGCCAGAACATTAATTTTATTACTGTTACAGAATTTACATGCTCACAGCTTAAAAAAAACTTAATTTAAGTAACTTTTTTCCTGCTCATTCAAGCTGACCAGTTATTTAAATGGAAATGATAGGATTTTTTTATTCTATCACTCTTAGAAACAGTGATGTAGAAATTGAAAAAACAGTGAAATTGAACAGTGAAATTGAAAAAATGTTTTAATCCTCTTTTTGTCTTCCAATTAGAATCTAGCAGTTCCACATTGGTAAAAACTGAAGAGGACTCTTCAGATCTGGAGGATGGTGAAATGGAAGTTGATGTGGAGGGGGACATTGAAGAATCTCACAATACAAGTTCTGATCTTTGCACCTTTGACACCAGTGTTGAGGTAGATCAAGATCCAGAAGATGACAAAGGCTCCAGTGATGAAGAGGAGATTGACATGGAAGATGTCGGAGATGAGGATCAGTTAGACTCGCAAAACAGGGGAAACATGATGTTAGATGTGCTCGCACAGGTAGCATCAGAAACCCTTGCAAGTGATCCATCAGCTGCAAAAACTCCAACCAAGAAGGTAGTTACTAATGAAATCTTTTTTAAAACAAGGATGGTCTCAGCATATTTATATTGAAATTGTTTGCTTTCTTTGTACAATGTCTCTGTATTAAAGCATTTCAATTGTTGCCAAGATATAACAAATTTAGAAGTATCCATTTTTGATGTTTAATGTAATGCAAGTTAAAATGACGAACATTCTTAGCACTTTTAAAGTTTTATATTAATTTTTTAAATATGCTATTCTATATTACCTTATATCCAGTTAACAGCCCGCAGTATGCAGTCTCTGGATGTGCTGTCATTGGACCAGATAGCCCAGCTCACAGACAAACAGCTTTTGGCATTATTCTCAGATACATCTGCACATGAGCTGAAGCGGAACTATACCTACACATGTTACTTAATGCCTGGAAAGTGCAATAGTAGTTTCACCAGTTTTGGTAATGAAAATAGAGCCAGGTTGCAGATGAGAACACATCTTCTTGACCATGTCAGTGAGCTGGTAGATGAAGCAAATGGTAAACATTCAAGCATTTTGAGCATTTCTCTCTATTGGTTATTTAAATCTATAAATCCTTTTCTGAAGGATATTCCTGGCTACATGTTTTTTTGTAATATATAGACTTTTTTCTCCTTGCTGAATAATTATGGAAAACACTTTCACATGTAACATACAATTTGTAAGATATCTGGAATAGCATTTTTAAATGATTTCACCAGACAAACATGCTTATACATTTGATTGTAAATATTGTAATATTTTCCATTTTGTCTTAAGTTCCAGGGAGATCTCACAAAATAAAGTTCACCGCTGAACCAGTGCCTGCAAGAAAGAAGAGACTTTCAGGTATGCAGTGACATGTTGCTCCTTACTAGTATCAGCAGAAATTAGTTTAGGTTTAGTTATATATCATTTTTATCTTGACAAAACTTGGGTTGCCTCTTGCATGGAACTCATAATTTAATCATTCAAAAATTTAGAAATTTAGAAAGGAATACCAAAATGTTATTTTGTTTTTAAAATGTTTGTTGAAGTGCATTTAGTCCCAAGGAAGTATGAAGTGAAACTGAAATTCCTTTACAAATCATTCCTATTTTCAGCTGAAAAAGCAGCTGCTAAAGCTGCCAAGAAAAAGCAACAAAAGAAGCTTCACCTGTCCCCATTGAAACCAGGACCTGCCAGTTCAAAAACATTCAAGAAAGATAAGGGAAATTTCACTGTGATTAAGTCTTCAGGACAATCTGAAGATGTCTACGTTTTTCCCAAAGGGAAAATGATAAACCTTTCAGACATGGTTGGTAGTAAAAACTCAGATATTGATGAAAATGAAGCAAGAGAGAACTCTGACTCGGGCTCAGCAGAGAAAGGCAGATCTGGAAACGCATCATCCCCAACTAGGAAAAATATTGTGAAGAAGTTTGCCAATAAACAGTACAGGATTAGAAAAAGTGTGGAAAAGAACCCAAATCGGACAAGGCTTAGTGCTTTGCAGGCTACAGCTGGTGAGGTTGCCCCAAAGCCTAAAGACAATCAAGAAACAAAAAGAAAAATCAGAGAAAATGAGGAATTTATTTTAGAATTCCTCAGCAGACGACAGCCATATCATGATCACAATTATACCACAATCTTTGGGCCACGAGATACAAGTGATGATGAAATGGAAGAAGGACAAGACATTGCTGAAATTGGTACCAGCCGATCATGTGCATTAAGGTGGGGCCCTATGCCTAATAAAAATGAAGATGAATCTGAGCAACCTAAAACACTAACTCTGACACTGAGTCAAAATCATGGTGAAGATATCAATCCAAAAACCATGACAATTCCAGTGGTGCGCCTTGACAAGCTTCGCCTCCCCAGTGATATGACTGCCGTGCCTGTTCAGCTTGTCAGCTCAGAAGAGATTGTTCAAATGGGAACTGGTTCTGAGGAGCAGGCCGTTGATGGAGTAGGAGATACTGGGCAAAGTAAGCATCAAGAGATTTGCTGCACATAGAAAATATATTTTGCAAGGGTTTCCCTTTTGTCAAACCCAAGTGTTTGCCCCGTCTGAGATGCATAGCAGAAATGATAAAGGGTGAAGTTTAGGATTTTTTCTTTTTTGCACTTGCCAGAGTTGGCAAGTTGTCCTTAAAATGCACTAAACTGTGTGTCTGAATGTTTCGTCAGATCTGTTTTCAACTAACATGTGGCAAGCGTTTAATCTGTGACACTGTGGAGTAAAGTGAAAATGTTTAAACATAAAACACACCAACCCCTGAATCTGTAAAAAGTTAAACCCCAGCAAGTCTCTTTACTGCTTTTGGTAACCTTGTTTCTTTACTAAATCTCATTGTAGATGAAATGCCTTTGAGCATTGTAATCTATTTGGTGATTGTAGTTGATGTTCATCTTTTTCAGAGCCATATCCACCAATGCCTAAATCCCTGATTGCAAAGAAGGGCAAAATGCCAGTGCCAGAAGAAGTTTTATCATCCACTGATGAAGAGGAAATAAATGTGACAACTTTAAAAAAGAAGAAGAAAAAACTTGTTGAAGGCAGTGCTGAATGGGAAAGGGTAAAACAGTTCTATGTTATACTCTGAAAGGAATATTAATTTTTTTCTAAATGTCAAAAGTAATTTTTTATATTTAAATGAAGATGTGTAAAATGTCTTGTCATTTGTTTTACTGACAATATATTTGGTTGTGAAGAATTTGACTGGCTTCAACTGAGAAAAGTGTTGATGTGACCTCAGATGTGAATGGAGTTATATATCATTTCATGCCACAACTTTGACAAATTGTTTTGTAGGAAACTGGCAAAAGTACATGATTGTTTTATATAATATGACAATACCTACTTATTTTATCTATCATCAGATTTACATGTAATCGAGATCAACAAAATGGTCTTGCATTTAATAGTGTTTATTTTTCAGAAAATGGCCCTTAAGTATATCAGAGAACTGAAGAACAAAAAAGGCACAGAAAAGGGAATTTTAGTTTGTAGACTATGCAAGGACAAAACTTTCACTGCAACTGCAACACTCATGTACCACTACAGAAGCCATGCAGGTAAAACAGACATTTTGCCCAAGTGGAAATTTCATTTAACATCCAGCAGAGTGAACTTGATTTTATGTAAAATATTTGAAAGACAAACCTTCAAAACTAGGAAGTACTCATAATGTGAAAGCAATTTCTTTTCATTAAGTATGCTGAACCCTATCCACAGTGTTTATTGTGGACAGTTTTTCCCCCGCCTACTACCCATGTAAATATATCGTTCTTAATTTGCTATTTTGGGTTTCTCCAGGGATCAAGCCATTTGTGTGCCTAATTTGTAACACCACCTTTACCAGACAGCACAGTCTAAACTACCACATGTTGATTCACAATAATCAGAGCAGGTTTACTTGCATTGACTGTGGAAGGAAATTTAGGCACCCAAGCCATTTTAAGGTAGGTACTTTATGACATAAATAAATGCATTTCTGATACTCTCCAAAAGATGTTTCATACAATTTTATTATGAGCATGCGTGTAAGTTTTGAAGAATTTTTAAACTTTTTTGCATCTCTAAAAATTGTTTTGTAGGGAACTGGCAAAAGTACATGATTGTTTTGTATAACATGACAACACTTACTCCTTTTATCTATCATCTGATATAGCACAAAAATAGGTCCATCTCATTTCACTCACATCCCAATATGTTATAATGTTATGTAATGTCCAGTGATATATTTAGGAGCACCTGCGGCGCCACACTGGTGAAACACCATTTGAATGTACAGACTGCGCCATGAAGTTCAAGACAAGGAACACATACAAGAGGCACTTGAAAACAAGACACGGCAAGCTGCTCACAGCCAGTGGGATTTTCCTCTTGTCTGCAGAGGAATTTAGCCTTGTGCGTACCAAGCCATACAAAAAGACACTTAAACAGCAAGCAGAAGAAGCTGCAGCAGCTGGGCATACAGTACATGTGGATTTTGAGGATGATGAGGATGATGAAGAAGAGGAAGAAGAAGAAGGTGGAAGCTCATGAGAAAATGTTTTATTTGTTGTTGTTAAATAGGAGTACAAATTGAATAGTAATATAAACGGTGTGCTGCTGGACAGCTTAGGATATAGCCATATAATTCATTGTGCCTCTAGAATTGGGTTATCAAGGCCATTTCTCTTGTCAGAACGTCTGGAAATTTATCCAAAATTTTATTTTACATATCAATTTGAAAGGGAAAAAATTTCATTGATTGATTGTTGTATATAAGTTGCCATATTTTACTTGACGATGACGAAATTCCAAAAAGCATTTATATGGTTAAAGTTTATTTTTAAAACCAGCTTTTGGGTGTTGTCGAGGTTAATAGTAGGAAAGGCAACCTAAAAAGTTTTATTAAGATTATGTATAACGTGTATCGATAGAATGCTTGAGATTTAGTATGAAATTATGAAGAAGATTAGTATGAAGTTGCCCTTATTTCAAAGGGTTTAACACTTAGATTAGAAGTTTCTAAAAAGCATTTTTATTTGTGAAGGATACATGATCAGGTTCAGAAAAAGATATATATATATTTTTTGCATTATGTACATTTGTAAATAGCAGAAGAGTACTAGCTTTATCTTTCTATATGCACCCACATGTATATATACATATATTCTTTATTACTGCTATTGATACTGAATTTTCGCAGTTTAACTGTATAAAGCCTATGTATTGCACAAACAGCTGTGGAAAACATGAAAATTAAAAAACTAATATACAACTTTTTCACCAATTGGATATTACTCAAAGACCTTATGTTTAGTCATGAATTTCATGTAATGTTCTCTTTCACATATACCTCATTTATTGGGAAACATGTATAGTGATAAATAAAAGACAGTAATGTTAATAAAGATTATCAAGTAATGTTAATAAAGATTATCAAATAAAAGAAATCAAAGAAGCTGTCTGGGAGTGGGTAGAAAACCCAACATTTAGCAAGAAAGGGGGTCTAAATAATAACTTCCTGCACATATGGGATAGAGTGCTGGGGACTATTCCTAGCTGTATGTTAATAAATCCAGTGACCGGTCCCTCCAGGTCATTACCAAGTGAAAGAACTTGGGTCGAGACCACGTCAGTCAACTGTTAATGAAAGTTCCAGTGTTGTAATTATATAAATTTCCCCCAAATATGTGGTTTGTTTTCAGTAGATATCATGGCACATCCAGGCAGCCAAAATAGGGTCATGGAAAACAAATAGAAAATGTGCAGGCCAAGAACTTAAGCATGGTGACAGTTTTCATCTTAAATAACCAATAATAATTAAAGTATTAAAAATGTGTATATAGTAGAGAACCTTCCAGTAAAATGTCCCACTTCCACTTTCATTTCAAAGTGAAAAGAATTAGTTTTTTATCATTCCAAGAAGTGCTCAAAAGCATGCAAAGGCATTTTAAGAGAAAAATGATAATTTTGAAATTAAACACCGTTGCATCACTGTTAAATGAGTGTTTTTAGATATCCAGTAGAATTAAGAGTTGAGGAATATGTATGACTATCAATCAAATTTTGCTTCTAAAGTTCGACGAATAGTCGACTTCACACATTGGGACAGGGTGCAAGAGACTATTAGGTGACCAGTCCATCTAGGTCAATACCTAGTGAAAGGACACGGGGAGAGGCCACAACATTGGTTAGTTATTAAGCAAAAGTTTGAGGATTCAATTGATACATATCCCTGATCACTATAAAGTGTTCTTCAAATATATTTTTTTTATTAATTCTGATAATGTATGACACAACTCAAATTACTTCTCATCACTTTATTGAGACATATCATTTGAACAATACTATAGATCTTTTGAAAATAAGTGAAATAATTGTTTATCTATGAGTGCAAAGGTCAAATCATCATTAAACAAAATAACTGAACACTGATTTGCTGAAACCTACACAACCATTCAAATACAAGATCCAAGCTGCATTTCGTAAAACTAGTGATATCATCTAAGTCTGTGTTTTAAGACATCTACAGTACTCTTTACACACCCTTTCGGGCTTTTCAGTAGAAGCATTGAATGCACAAAGGACACATATAATACAAAACTTGTAATACATGTCATGGACCACAGATATTTTATATGATGTCATGTAGTATACTGAGCTATAACAACACATTTTTCCTGGAATGCAGAATTACTATTGCATGTAAAATTAATTTTCTTTATTTATTTATTATTTTTTTCATCAATAACCAGTATATACTTTTTCAATCATGGTGGCATCCCTGTATCAGTACATTTGTTGTGACAAAGGAGGCTAGGGAAAAAAAGTCGCCATGCCCCAAAGAAGCACACTGAACGTAGGGAGAATTTATTGCACAGTTCTGTCTTGGGTGGTGATCGCATACTTTCCACAGTGTTCAGATATTTTAGAATTCTTCTATGCTTCTTGGAACTTTACTCATATGTCATGGTAAAAACTTGATACAACTGCCATAAAACAGCACAAATCTCAGGTTCACATCATTATTACAATAATAAAACTTCAACTGCAATACGTTTCTTTATCTTCTTTTCTTTGGAAGATCAAGAAAAACATTTTATAAACTACATAAAATAAGAGCTTTGGCTTATAAAATCTCTTTTAAGAACTTTCAGTGTCACTCCTGGCACATACTACTAACTAAATCGCACTAAACAGATTTACTCCAGATTGACTTGGCTTCCATATGTGCTCAAAACAGGTTTTATCCCCAGTGTCAAAAGTGTCACTACTTATTTTGCCTCATAACTTAAAAAACTTGTGGCTGAATCTACAAATTTTTTTTTATGCCAGACATTTTCAAAATATGCAAGCCCCTACTTTCACAACCTTTTCTTTTTTTATTTTTTTAGAAAAGCTGGTTACACCAGAAGTTGATTGTAATCCACATGATAGCACTGGTATCTAGGGAGGAGGTGGGGAGCTGATAGCATCCCCTGTCCCTTGCTTGGTCTACTCCCATCAATGCCTTTCACCCCACTGAGTGTTGCCAAGAGACTTGCACTACTCCTGCTTCAGCAGGAAACCTGGGGGGTCATTTGGACATCGAGGTCTTCCTTCTGAAAAGTGCAATGGGTATGTCATTTAGAACTAGGTGTCACTGAACTGAACATAAACCATACTAATGCAGAATTAGAAAAGTAACTTACTTCACAAACCAAATTCTTAAAAAAACAGCTACCAAAGGGAGTCTTACTATGTGGAATACATGTCAAATATACAATATTTATGTATTTAATATACCCTTTTAAATAATAATTTAAGGAAAAACCAAATCAAATCAAGCAAGATAAAACATGTTTTCCCCAGCAGTTGGTCTACTTACTTTGCTGTTGGTACCCCACTGACTCCAGGCTGGCTATTTTTCTTCTGTGCAGTTCCACCATTTGTTGTGCTATATGATGATGAATCTGAAAGGAAAGGAAATTCTAGTCAGGCTATGTATTTTTAACAAATTATAACGGGCAATTTAGTCCTCGGTGAATGAACAATACACACACACACAGACATAGACAATTTGGTCAAAATGAGCTAATAATCTTTTAAATCAATGATATATCAAGCAACTTATAGAGGTAAAAAAATAATCTCTTCCCACTGTTTATATTGTTCTTATCAGTAGATTCTAACTCAAACTAACCTGGACTTGCAATAGAAAGGGGACTTCCAGTGTTGAGACGCCTTCTACCAGCTGAACTTGGTGATGGAGAAGGTACACTACTAGAGGAACTATATGTTGAGCTAGCTGAACTACGTCTGAAAAGAAAATAAACACAATTAAGCAACTTAATTTAAATTTAAATTTAATTCTGAGATAAAACATAAGTATGAAAGCATGATATGACTTCATCAAAAAACAAATTTTTTAAAGTCAAGAAAAAAATCCCAACAAAGTATGGTTCACAAAATATTCAAGAATATTGAGCACCAAAAAGCCCCACAATAATCTGTATTATTATTATTATTAAACTAAATCTAAACTGAGGTTCAATATCATATAAGTTCCAAGTTTTTTCACATAAATATGCTTTCATTCACATGTAGACTATGGAATGGTTTATAACTACACTAACTTCAATCATATGGATACTGCTTCAGGAAGCTTTTACTTTCACTTTCTAACAATCTGTTTTTTACAGTCTTGTTTACTTACATGAGTATAAAAAATGGAAATTAACCAATAAAACTGGATAATGGGAAATCACTAGCTTAATTTTTTTCAAAAGGTCTCAGATGTCCTGACAGGTTAGAAATTCACGAACCTCCCTGTGTGATCTGGACATCATGGGGCCATCAGTTAACATATTTCTGGTTCAAGTTAGTCCTGCTATGAACTTGACCAACAAAACTAACATCTGAAAAATCGTCTTACCTGCTGTTAGTGCTGCATGCTGACCCTATGCTGCTGGCACTGCCCGGGGACCGAGACTTGGAAGTTGGGGAAGGTGTGGTATTCTTCAAACTTTTGACTGTTTTATTACCTGTAGAAATTGAAACTAGCAGTCAGACAGATTCTTATGTGACCACTGACTGATAAGTTGCAGTATGTCGTTGCAAACATCACTGTGGTCAACTGGAACATGATTTCATGGGGTGGATTAAGCTAATTACTAGTAAAAATACATTGGAATAAACATGTAAAGACTGAATAGCATTCTAAAGAAAATATAGCTTCTACAGTAAATCATTTCCAATAGCAATGACTGATTTCTAAAGAGAAAACAGTTTCTACAGTAAATCACATCCCACAAATCTTCAGTTTTTCAATTCCTTAATATATCAAGAATAAATTGCATTGTCACCTTTACTAGGTGTAGTATTTTCATTACTGCTGCCAGCTTTTAATTCTCTCTCGGATCTGGACTTCTCAAGTTGATGCCTTGTACTAGTGGCAGCAGGTATTTTAGAGGCTAAACAGGATAGAAAAGACAATCCTAGGATAAGACTTCAACCCTTCAACTAAGGGAATAGGTAAAGATGATACTAAGGTACTGCAAGGGTTTCTACTATAAACTATAAGTAAAACCCAGGGAGCTTATAATGATAGCAATTCTACAAGATATAGCAAGCTCTTTTAGAGATCTAAACAATTCTGGATGGAAAATATGCATCATAATGAATTTGATCACCAGGACAATCAAATACACACAAACAAAACCAACAACGCAAAATGGATTAAATTCCCTCTATTAATTTACTATGCTTTCTTTCATAAATGCAGCTGTAAAATTTCCATTTGTCTTCAATTCATCAAATTTAAGCAAGGTATTTATACCTCTTTTTGGAGCAGGGATTTTACAGGCCACATCCTTCTTATCCTTTTTCTTCCCCTCTTCTTTCTTGGAACTTTTTGTCTCTGGTTCATCTTTACGAGACTTCTCTTCCTATAAAAGATTTCAACAAAATGATGTTAACGTTAGACTTTTATAATTTAAATAATTTTTCTTCAGTTTTTTCAGACCCAACTGAAAACACTTTCATAAATGCGACTCCAACTCTCTTGATGTGGCATATTTACATAAGTGCTGCAGAGATTAAGTTGACAGAATATCGTAATCCATACCATTTCTATAAGCATTTTCTCTTCTTCCTCTTTCCTTTGGTCTACAATGTCATCATCGACCGTAGTCTTTCTGCCCATCTAAAACAAAGTGGATAAATATCTTAATACTGGTTCAAAAACTAGACACAAGCACCCTTTCTCTTAGGTTAATCAGTCTTAGTACCTATGAGAGCTTCACATTGTTAAAATATGTATTAATACTATTTGATGAATTTATCACAACATATAAATATACAAAGAAATAAACATTTACATACAGGCACATCCTCTTACACCCCATTTCCATAGATTTTTAGATCGATCTATCCCTGTGGGGAGTCTCACTAGATTACTGTCAGCTTGGCCGGCTTAAGCATCTGTCCTGCCTACTAAAAGCTGTAAGGGTGTAATTAACTATGGTGCCCGCTCGGCTGACTGCAATTTAGCATGAACCCCCAGGGAGTTAGGTCGATCTAAATCTTAATCTCTAGATTGATCTAAATCTCTGGGAAAGCACCCAAACTTATATCATCAGAAATGGGACTACAGTTATGTGTACTTACAGAATCCATTGGAACAGTTATCTTATCTAATTCTTCCACAGACTGAAACAGATCGATTATTATCTTATTAGCCAAATGGATTTTTTTACAATAAGCAGAGATTGGGGTCCTATTCTTTAACTACAAAAAACCACAAAGAATTAATGAAGATGGGTTCCATGAACCAAGAAGGCAATTGGTCTTGAGGTAATTTAATAGCCAAATCTAATGCAAGTGCTGTCTATCGGAACCAATAAAATTGATGATGGATCTTAAAGTTAATATTGGCTTTGCATATTGAGACACTAATCTTACACATTTTAAGTATCCACAGACTAAAAACAAGACTGCTAAAGGTTAGCACCACAAAAATCACATTAATATTCAAGCAAACACTTCAAAAAGTTCAACAAGTTCAAGCAAAACATTGGAGGACAATCATTTCACCTGATTATAAATCAAGTACTGAGAAACAAATAAACCACAAAATATACAAATAGTAATATAAATGTGTCCAACTTGATGGATAATACTGCATTAGGCCAGTAAGTTGATAAATTTTCCAAAAACAAATCAGACAGTTCCCATCTTCACTTTCTCATTATAATTCTTGAAAAATTTCACCAATGACCAGATAAAATGCCATTTTCTTTACATCTTCTAAGAAAATTTAAAAAGAATACAAATGCAGAAATTATCCTCAAGTATCTGTGACCTGATATAACTTTCAGGCACCTAAACAATAAAGCCAACAGCAAGTCTAGTTTGGCAATGCAAGCAACCAGTAGTGTAAGTTACCTCAGGGTAGCTTCTTGTGTACATTAGCGTGTAGAACTACAAATTACAGGGACATGAATATGTGGACATCAAAACAAATATATACTTAATTTCTTTTAGTACTACTCAGATGCGTTAAGGGTTAGATTGTGTACAATATGATTAACGGTTATGACATTGTTTAAGTATAGCCAGTGTCCATGCTGTTAAAATGTCCTGTTAAAATACACCACTATACACATGCACAGCATGACTGAACTTTAAAATAAAATTCATTTAATTTAATGAAAATATATGACACCAATGACAGTCCACAATATAAGCTTACAATTAGTATCTATTCTTTAAAATGAATAATTAGCAAAGTGCTGTCTCACACCATAAAATGAAACTACACACACGTTACAAGTGAGTTCATGCACTAGTGGGTTTTCACACTATTAAATCGTGCATATGGCCAAAGAACAGTAGCTCACCTTTCTGACAGAAGCTGTAACATCTCGATCTCTCTCATTAATCAATAATTTCCTAACACATGATTCTAGTTGCTGCAATAAGTTGCGATCAGCAGGGAGACGCAGTATAGTCTTCAGACGGGGTAGGACGGAGCATAATCGCAAGCGAATATTTGGGACGGGATCTGTGGCGTGCTCTAACACAAACTCAAAGAAATACTCCTTGAAAAAGCTTTTTGAGTAAAGTTCCATTGCCATTTTGCAAATGTCTATGAATAAGCTTCTTTTATAACAACTCTTCCCATGACAGTATTCTGGAAAAGAAACAAATTAACAAGTAAAATGTAAAGTCTAGCAATTCAAAGGTGATTTCTCCAAAGCAAAAATAAAACACAAAATTAGCAATAAATCAGTAAATAAACTAGACCTATAACAGCATAGATGTTTGAGCTAGGATGGTATTTTTCATTATTATAATACATAATGTTTATCAATAAGGTTTTTCTTACCATCCACAAGCCGACATATCAATTCCTGCCTGTGTTCCATTTTCCTATTATTCCTTATCAAGATTAATATTGTCCGAGCTGCAGCATGCCGCACTGGTAAAGGCCTCTGTTGTAAAGAAGAAAATGACAGTGTTATTTGCAATCTACAGGTCAATTACACATCTCTGTTCATTTATAAATTCTTAACTCATATTTCTTAATAGCTTTAGAATTCCTTTTTTTTGGAATTACTCATAAAAAATAATAGAAAAAATGATCTGGTAACACAATTAATCACTCCCTGTTTTCTGTGCTGTATGTTCAACTATGTTATATGCACCAGGGTCATCAACAAACGCAACCAAATATTCCCTTACCACTGTCTGGAGCTTCTTGAACAGCAGAGGTATAAACTTAAAATAAATCTGGTCACTTGTGAACACTTTGGGAAGACAAGAGAAGCTTTCCATGATTTGTGCATGTAACCTCCAGTCGTTACTTCCTGACAGTACAGTTTCACAGGCTAGGAGGGCAGGGATCACGTCGGACATTGCGTTCATTTTAGCTTCCGTGATTGCACTCCCTCCTGCCTTCACCATATAATCTAGTGTCTCTGTTATATGAGGCACTAGGCCTCTGAGTATTTCTATGGACTCGTCTTTGAGCAGTGAAATCAGTTCCCCCTGAACACAGTGCACAGAGCTGCCAAGGAGCTTCACAACCTAGAGATACAAATTACCTCGTATAGACTTTACAAACTTGCACTGTAAAACCATATGAAGGATACAGTTGCTAATTTTCTTTAGTTATTCTATACTTTTTATCACAAAAATATTGATATACTGCATGGCCTTCAGACTTGTTGGTAAGTGCATGTACAATTACCAAGAGCCCAAGTCACATTCATTTTTCAATAAAATGTTCAATTTAAATCAAAATTAATTTCTAGTATGTTAAAACAGACAGCTAAATTGCTGTATTAGAGAATAATCATTTAAGACAAAATGCACAGAATTCTACCACATATTATTATTCCACGTTTTCCTTAAATTTATGAAAACAGAAGTGTGCCTTTTTAGATTAATTGCATAAATACACAACTATCACCAGAACATCAACGACCATGGCCTCACCTCATGGAAACTGTGTGCTATAGTCTTCTTTACTGCTAAGTGTGGATCATTGCACAAACTGCTAAAGGTAGGATACAGCTCTGTTTTAAACTGGCGGGCCCCAGTCATCACTACCATAGCCTGGGAGAGACAAAACCACAAGGGATCAGTTTCAAGTCTACAAACATGATAATTTTGGAAGTTTTTTATTTTATTTTATTTTTTTTTTTACAATTATTATGGCACCGATAGTCTTTTTAGGTTCTCTGACTGTAGAGTATTTAACTTGTAAAAAAGGCAATTCAAGGCATCATTTCTACTCCAAAAAAGTGCATGTCATATAGGTAGATCCTCAAGTCATACACCAGAATTGTTAGAATCTTTGCAATCTCAGAGTACATTACAAATGTGAAGTTCTTTAATAACTAAGACCACTGTTTTTCACCCAGATGTACTGGTTTTTATATTATTTCACCTCCTGTGATTTAACATTACTCAAACTTACAGGGAAATTGAAGGCAGCATTCTTTCGGCACTCCACAGCTCTGTCCTCATCTGGGAAGATGCTAGCTATCACAGGCACCTGCAAATATTCACAGAGAATAACTTGTTACAATATTCATTTTTATTTCAATGGCTTTTATTACTGCTAAATGCTCTTGACTTGTATACGTCAGCTTATTGGACTTGGTAAATTACCTAAATTGCTGTCTTCATGATTTAAAATAAGTCATAATCAATCTTAGAAAATAAGTGCAATATTTTGCAGAAGCATAGCTGAACTGAAGTTTTAAGTTTTTTTATTTCTGCTTCTTTGATCATACAAATCACAACTGAACCAAAGAAAAAAAAATGTTAAATAAACATAAAAGACATAAATTCATTCACTTAGAAATTTATAATGCTAATAGCCTATCTCCTTTTTGTAAATGTTCTCATTATTTTACAACTTCTCAACTTACCTTTGCAGGTGAATTTAAAGGCTCTCCCTCTCTTGGTGTTTTTGTTTTCTCTGAGAGGCCTACTCTACTTAATTTCCTATAGAAATCAAGAAACCACTGTTTCTGGTCCTCTGTTAGATTCACTGGAAATTTAAAGCAAAAAAGTTAAAACATTACCCTTTTTTCACCAATTTAAATACATAAACATAACATTTCTATGTGCTTAGTATTATTTATACAAGTCAAAAATGGCAACAGGTTAAATTGCAAATCTCTATACTGCCCCTATGGTGAAATGTCATTGCAAAAAAATCAATTTCTGTGAACTAAAAACAACAACAACAACAACAACTCAGTGGAATGTCCTTTGAAAAACAGCCCTCCACTGAACATAGAGCCCATTCAGAACAACTTGATCCCTGGACAAACAGATCCGTGGATCAAATATAGGTGACCGAATTGAAAACTTGCTGCACAATCCCTTAATAGACACTGAATACATTCCCCACAGAGAATGCACAGTTAGCTTTCAAGTGGGTTGGCTATATTTGATCCTCGAATCTGTTAGTCTACAGATCAACTTTGATTGTGAATGCAGCCTTAAAGCAGTACCTGACAACCCATGGCACAGCTTCCCTATCAGCTTGGCCACCACTGGTAGGGTAGGGTCCTCATTCTGAAGGGACTGCTGGCAGAACTTACACACCAGAGGAATGATGGTTGCATTACAGGTTTCTGCAATAAACATATATATAAAACATATTAGTTATTGCCGGGAAAATAATACCGAGTAAAACCTTAAGCTAGACAGACTAGTTTCTATCTTATATTTTTCTCTTTAAAAATCTACCAAGACTGAAGGAACTGCGGAAGACAGTTTGAAGAATAGAGCAATGTCAATTAATCCAACCAATAATGGATGGAGACAATTAACAGATGACAGTTTGCCACTCACTAAGCCTACCTGATGCATATAAAGTAACTAACTTACTAGTAGCAGGTAATTGTAGTGACAGATGCACAGTATTAATTCATAGTTACTACAGGTTTTTCATATGGGAAAGAGCTGCTTTCTCAACTTGACTATTTTAGACTGGACACTGGCTATGATGTACCATCTGATATAATACTGAATCAGAGTTAGTTGGCTATGTTGTGCTGTAGCCTGATACTTAAAGGGATAATAACTCTTCATTTTGGCCAAAAAATGAATTTTCCTGGAGTAAACAACAATTTTCCCATACTTACCAATGGTTAATGAATCCATTTTTACATTCAAAGTTAGTCCCTGGTATTTTTCTAATAAGTTTGGTTTTTTGTTAAAATCTCTTAAGAGATTATAACAGAGTATAGCCGTCAATGGAGGTCACGTGGTCTGAAGACCACCTCAGATATCAGAATAAAAGCTATAACTGCAGTTTTTGTGGTAAAACAGAATATATTATATTTCTGTAAGTTATTCACAATGTTTTTATTGTGAAATATAAATCTCATACGAAGAGTTATTATCCCTTTAACATATAACACAGGGTATCAAATGCACTAATAGTCTACTAACATAAAATAGCAGCAATTTAGTTGGATTTCCGGTCATTAAGTCCCGAGTATAACCAAGTATCCCTGCATGCAATTAACATGTATTTTGACTTGGAGAACCAAGTGTGGTCTCACTTTAATCAATAACTTAGGATATTGGCAGGCATATGGTTATGAGGAAATGAGACTAAATAAATAATGCCTACTGCATTAAAATCTCTAGTAGTGATGACGTTACTGGAGTCAACTGGAATGTCTTTTAACAGGGAATAATAATCACCATTTCTGTTCAAGAGCTTGGTCAATTTCCTGACAGACATTTCTCATAGTAATTCATTAATAAGCCACAATTTGTTCAGCAAATATCCATCCAATAAGTCTGTCTGCCTGTCTGCTGAACTGGCTAAGATTCAATATTTTGTTTAAACACTTTGAAATGCTTTGTGGGGCATTAACAAGACAAAAGAGGAAAAAGAAGTCTTTGGAATACAATGGGTGGAGGCAATATTTGACTTAAAGCATGCCAAAAGCAAACACTGTGGATATTCTATCACCTTGGATATCTGCAAATGCTCCTTCAGGACTCTGATCTCATATTTATTAAAATATGCATATGTGCAATTTGCAAATTGAAAACATTATCAAGGTATTATTTCTTTGCCCCTTGAACCACAATCTCCATTAGCACAGGGAAACTTCACTTTAAAACCATGCAATGTATTGTTAATTAGCAGATTATTGCTTAGGGGTGATGAACTTTTTTTGGAGTGGTTTTCATGAATGATTGCCTTGGACAAATTAATTTCCTATCCATCTTGACATGAAACAACACCTGCAAAATACCCTGGAAGCTTTTTTTTTATCCTCAATAGAGAAAGAATTTCTCATAAAGAAACATCATCCTGAAAAGTTTATCGGTTTTATCCAGTGACTCCCTACTGGAAATAGTTGCAACATCTGTAAATCTGTAACCCTAATATTGCACCTGTTTGCAGATGGGGGAAAAACAGACACAGCGAATATGTTCATATACATGTATGTTGCAAACGAAGCAATGCCCTGCCTGTCAGAAAGCCCATCTTTCTGCTGGGGATAGTTTCAGATTTCATTCTTTTTCCTTTTTTACCTATCTAAGACTGATTATATCAAATACAGTTTATTGATGGTGATTTGAGATTGTACAGATGATGCAAGTCCTATTTAGGTCTTATATACACATTTTATTTATGACTGATTAAACTAATCATAAAAGTATTGGAAACAATTTTTAGAAATATATTTCTTTAGATAAGGCTGCTACATCTAATTTTACAATATCACCAAGCTGCATCTGTATACTTTTTATATGACGTCTAGCAACTTTTCCTCTGTACTCCTTCAATTAACTGACACTTTCTTATCCAGTCCAACAACTCAACTAACACTTGAAATCATTCTGTACAGTCCCAAGTCTCCTGCTAGCCTCTCGCCTTCTCCATTCCCAGGACAATACTTTCTGTCAATTGAGGCAGAAGAAGTAGAACTTACCATCATCCAGCAGACTAAGGATATTGACTACAGTTTCTATGCCGGCCAGACGCACATAACTCTCTTCATCATTGGCGAGTTCCACCAACTCTGGTAATATTGCACTTTTAGTGGCTTCAAGCCTGAAAATGAGAGGTGGAAAATCATACTATGGTATAGCATAACTTGTTTAAAAGAAAATTTAAATGAAAACAAAATACAAATATGAATCACATCATGCCAAGTTAATCCAATTATAACGGGGGGGGGGGGGGTTGCAAATACATTGCAAAAATTGGTACATCCAAATTTTGCCAAATGATTCAGTACCCTTTTATGAAAATAACATACCGTATCTTTCAAGATATTTTGCCAATTCTTTTTTTCTTAGATTTATCCTATAAATACTCAACAGATGGAAACTAGAAGAAAAAAACTGTCTCAAAGAAACAAATAGGCTGTCAGTGCTATTCAATTCAAACACATTTAATGGAGACAATATATTTTGATTACAGTGGCATGCATAAATTTATGACACTCTAAAATGTGGCATGGTATGGTCTTATTACAACATCCTTAAAGGACCCCACAACACAGTAGCAAACCACTTTATGGTAAGGGTACTTGAAAACAATTTAAAGGACATTTCCCTTTAGATGGTTGAATTCAAGGAGAATTTTACATGTTAAAAGGAAAATGTGTTTGCTTTCTGTACTCCACTGTGTGCAAATACTGCAGAGCAGATTGTTCTTTCATTATGCAAGAAGATTAATCAATAGCATAATGGGAAAAGCTTGTTGCCCTGACTAAAAAAACAAAGAGCATCATTATGGTTTCATTAACAAGTCCATTTGACTGTTCTTCTAACCATGCCACAGTCTTATATCTACAGACTTAGATTGGTGTTTTATATGCATTTAATCAAGGAAAAGTTCAATGGTGTTGATTAAGAAAAAAACAATCATGAGAACAAACTAGCATAGGCATCAGACCCACGATAAAACACCAATAAAACAGCACTGAAGGTCAGAGATCAGCATGTACTGGATATAAACCAAGTCACAAGGGCAAATACAAAAACCATTCATTTTTACCATTGCGTATAATGTTCTCTGAGAAAAATCAATCATCATCATTTAGTTCTTCTTTACAAGTCCAGACACCATTAAATGCTCATAAATTAGTTACATACGGTGCAAAGAGATGAATGAGAACAAATATGAATTGTAGTTGTGGGCATTCCTAGCCATGTCACTCATACCCGTCTGATGACAGCTTACAAATGATTTTATTACACTTTGTCAACTTATGTAATATATAAATTAATCGAGTTCCTTTAATTTTTACATATTATATTATATTTGCTTCAATCTTAACATGTTCCTGCTTTGAGCATAAAGACTTCAAATCAATGCACTATTGTCAAATTTAGAATTATTGTGAACCATTTTATAGAAAACAAAACTTGTTCTTTCCTATTCAATCCATCTAATCCAACAACTACCTTAATCTATTCCAGTGTTTTTTCTTTCCATTGCCAATATAATTCAGGGGTGCAGAGATCCGTCTTCTTCGGGTCTCCATTTTCTTCTAAACTACATTATTTCCTATCACATATCAACTCATCAATACTTAATGCAGGGATCCATAGAGATGATATATTTGCATGTTTGATGATTCTTTCTTGTTAATCATTTCAACCTCCTAAACTAGCGTCAGTAATTAATGACAAACTGGCCTATAAACAAAAAAGCTAACGAGCAGATGGGTTTTTTATTCAAAATTCCCACAGCTTAAAAAAGATAACTACTAGCACCGTATACTATGACTAAAATACAACAAAGAAAAACAGGCTAGTACTGATAAATGTGTTGATATTCACCTGCTAGGACTAGTGTGTTGATAAAGCGGTTCTAAGTCACTAATATATTAGTATTAATTCTATTCTATCAGTGTGCATCTGGTGAAAATCACATCAAAATGTCATTCCAGCTCTAATGTTGTTAATGCCTGCAAGTCAATAGAGAAGCCTTCAGCACCCCATCACTTGATAATGCAAGGTTATTTGTCTAATGCAACTTCAATATAATACATAAAGATCCCCATCTCAGCTTTCTATTTGAGGGCCACAAATGGGCTGTGCTTTGCTGACTTAACCTGTAAATTAAATCTATCAGGCTGCGGAATTGGCCATTAGATAGATGTTTTCTGCCACATAATCAATTTTAATTTGTATTCCTTGAGAAATGTGTCAAGTAAATATATGGTCTGATCATTTCTCCGTACACTGTACTGATATAACATATGTCAGTATTCCTTCTGACCCCAATGGAATTTTCCTATTTCTGAAATTCTGATACTTCTTTGCCCGTCTGTCTGTTCTATGGATTTCAACACAGATATCTGCTTTTTTTCTCTCTTAAAGATCAATTGAAATAGCACTGTATACCTTATGTGGATCACCAAAATGCCTGCCACTCACATGATATGAAGGCTAGTGATTGATTGCAATTCTGACAGTTGGATCCCAAGATACTAAGAATGTACAAACTGGCATCTGGCAGATCGAAAGGTGGATTATGAATTGACTTTAATGTTCTTTGGCGGAACCTTGGTAGATTATGTCTCCATTAAGAACAATATGAATGTTACAGGGAGCACCGCGCATGATTGCAAATGTATTTCTTATCAAACTAAAGAATGTTTGGATATTTCATAGATTTTTCAATTATTTCAAAGATTTTTTTATTTATTTTTCGTTTAAAGTCATGAAGACAACATTGCTGTAAATGGGTGAAAAGTTTGTGCTATTTTCATTAATAGATTGAGTATTTCTCAAAGGAAATTTTGCTAAAAAGGAATAATTTTTCATCAGTTATTGTTGGTGGCACTCTTTACAGGCATATTATGGATGGATTAGTGCATGAACACCCGGAATGTCTTTTGAGGCACTAGATCCAGAATGTTCTCAGTCACACAGACGCGAGACTGGTAAAATATTGATTTCACTCCAGGCAAGATTGCTCCCAATTCTTATTCCAACCACCAAGAGAGAAACCCAACTGGATTACTGAACATCATTTACTGCCCTCACCAAAAACAAGACATGGCATAAAGAAGATCCCAAGGTGGAAGCCGTTTCTCTTAGTTCCAGACTGCCAATAAGCCATTCCATAGATTTCTTGTCATCTTTCAGGGATGTTATCAGCAGAGAGCTTCTGTACAGAGGCATTACTTTGCATACCACGTCTCACTGCAGGAGACGACTTCTCTGCTTTACCAGTTCTGATGCTTCAGAGCTGGAAGTCTTTGTGGAAGGCAAGAGGAAGAGGGTGGGATAGCAAGGTTATTATTACTTTCACAATAGTACCCGAGACCAACTGGAGCGTATGCTTCAAAAAAATCTTTCTCTTTCTCTTTTTTTTTTATCTTAGTCACTGTGTGTGGTAAAGCTAGAAGAGCCATCTCACTATAAAACCAATTTCATCCTAAATGTAGTCTATGAATTGTTCCAAAGGAAATACGCATAACCTGCACAAATATGCTCTCAACTATCAGACCACTTATACGAGAAAACACCACTAAGCAAGTCAGGAAGACAGTAGCCAGTATGATTCAAGGGCAGTTTCACTTTCTGCACTATTGGTAATGGCAGAGGTAAACAACAGTAGAACTTACCCGAGTCCTTTAGCAACAGAATCTAGCTGCCTGCACATGCAGCCCCTCACTTCATAATCAACGTCCTGACACAGGGACTGCACTACAGGAAGAATCTCCTTCTTGATACTGAAATAAGAAATTAGAAGTTCAAATTGAATAAACAATCAACAAGTCTATTTTTCAACATGGAAAAACAAAAATATGTCTATTCTGCATATTAATGCTTACATAGAAGAATGACACTTTCTTCCAAATTATTAGAAGTTGAAGAAAGACACTATGACTTACATTGAAGACAGACACTTTCTTCCAAATTATTAGGAGTTCACTTACATAAAAGCATCAAACTTGGGCGCAATTTTTCCCAATATTCTGCAACTAGCTAATCTTGACTGGACGGACTTGGACAGTTGACCTTTGGCCACTGCAGTACCTAAACACTGAAAACAATAATAATAGGGTGTTTTAATCAGTAAGTCAGAACAATCATGAAGCAAAAACTGCATACATAAATGAATCAATACTAAAGAAGAATACAGAAATGTAGGCAGATTTGACAAACAAACTGGAATAACTCAAACGAGAGCTTAAGACCTGTAAGTTAAATTCCTTCAACACAATAAAACAATATTGCCAAATCAATCAAAATTTGGTAACAAGGCAGCAAAGCTGTCAAATGTACAGACAAAAAACAGGAAATAACTATGCACAAAATAGGCTACTGTCAATTCTGATGCAAAATTTTAATGATTGAATCTGACAAACTGCAATGATATGAGTTTATTTCCATTTTTGAAACTTTATTACACAATACACGATAACAAGTTTACCATCATTTTTACATAATCAACTAATAATGTTGTAAAGATGCAGGAAATGCCAAACAAACACTTTTACGTATCTTATTAATTAAATAATGAAACTGTTAACATGCCTAAGAAATGAATCTGAGGAAATGTGAAAAAACAGCATAACTTCTAAAATAATGCCCCGATTATGCTGATTTTCGAACTCAACCTGCGTTTTAGTAAGACTGACCATTCCTGTGAGTTTAATGACAATTGGGCTTTCTGTTTTTCTTATATTGTGTTTACAGTGTTGCATATATGCTGAACAATGAAAAAACCACATAACTACTAAAATAGTGGCCCGATCATGCTGATTTTCGAACTTGACCTGCGTTTT